GCAGCGGCAATGTCCTTGTCGTCACATATCGAGTGCAAAAAGTTCGATGACTTGGCAGCGTCCGCCGACAACAGCCAGTACTTCCTGCCAGCCTTCAGCAAACCACGCAAAGAAGCACTCAGAAAAAATGTGCCGATATTTGAAAAAAAGAAAAAGGACCTGAAAATTATTTTTTAAAAACCATAAATCTGATCAGAAATCTCTCAGAACAATTTGGCAATATTTTCTTAAAAATACACATTTTAGGATAGAAATAAAAATATTTATAAATTAGAAAACTATTTACTGAAAATCATAAATCAGCAGTTTTTTATTATTTAGGGGTATAGTTATTTTTTGTAACACATTTTATTATTTTGCACATTTTGATTTTATTATTTTTTAAATTTGTATAAATGAATAAAGGTTAGTTATATTTATTTATGAAAATTTTTTAATAAATTGCTTGGGATATGGTCAGTAAACTTGCATTTTTTTCAACTGCACACAAAGATACCCATCCCAAAGTCCTCTTTCCTTGGCTGAAGCCTCAAGTGAAGTTGTAAATAACTTGAGCATGATGTGGAAATGGAAAATTTTCAATTGAATTCATTGCGTTTTGATTGCACATCCCCTCGTACACCCGAGATAATTATCAACTTAATAAAAAACCAACTAACTGTCATTTAAAATGCCCCATAAAATCGCATAAAAGCGCATAAAGTGCCTGGCACACATCGTCGTCGTCGCTTTAGTCGTAACTTGTTGTAAATATGCTCGTGCTCAACATGCACTCAATGAATGAAATGTGTGCACAATGTTGAAAATAGTTGTGACACCCCGCCCCCTGCATCTTCTTACCCTCAAAATGGGGGAGTTTCTCCTTATTGCTCATGTTGTTGTTGTTGCTTATATGGGTGGCACGGCGTGGAAGCGACTTCCGCGTATGTGGACAGCACTACAGCATGATAAATTGATGTTTGCCGCCCTTAAAAATGCAAAGAAATGCAAAGGAGAAATTGGAGGAAACTTCTGGGAATGGAAAAGACATGAAAAAGGGCAAAAGGCAAAGAAAGTGTTTGAAAAATCAGCACACAATGCGTTCAATTGATCTATATTATTTACAAATAAACAAATAGCGACGCGCCAAAATTTGAATTTGAATGAAATTCTATGTTGCCAGATGTTTGTAAAAAGTACAATGGCGTTGCCACTTCTAAAGCGAGACGAATCTCTTAAGCTTTAGCTATACTACTTCAGATGGCGCCACCCAAAATGCAGAATGACACCCATAGATGGCGTCATAAATCAAATCATATTCCTTTAAATTGCAATTCGTTAAAAAACTAAAACGATAGTATGATTTGTCACTCAATTGCTATAAATGGTTTAATGTTATTTCTCTTATTAACAACAAAGAACCAGCCTATAAAAACCCAGTTACCCAACATAAAACTACATTTGTATTAGTATTTCAGATATTGTATTCTTTATTATGACAAAATACAGCTTTCAGCTTTTTATCAAGATGTAGTGAAGCCACCTGCAAAGAAAAATAAAAAAACCAATAAGTAAACATTCAAGAAAGTTAAATATTAAATATTTCAAGTATTTGATCAGTTGGGGAAATGACTTTCAAACAGCATGGTGTTTCTCAGTTAAAAAACCACGGACGGTATTTTCTTCATTTCAAATAAACAAATACATTTTTAAAAATATTCACCTTTTCAGAAAAAGCTGAAAGCCTCCAAAGATCTGCCAGCATAATCGATTATAAGGAACAGCTTCCAAGGCAATCTGTAATATAAAAACATTTTAATTAGTATTGGACATTAATTGTTTCGAAATCCCATATTTGAAATGATTAATCAGTTGGGGAAATGACTTTCAAACAGCATGGTTTTGTCTCAGTCTAAAAACCACGGACGGTATTTTCATCATTTCAAATTATAAACAAATAAATAAATTTAATTACCTTTATATTTGAAGGAATTAATTTAAACAGTTTTCACCACCATTTTAGAACATCTGCAATAAAAAAGAAGTACACATTAGTTTACCAATATTTAAAGAAGATGAAACACATATTTTAAGAGATTTATCAGTTGGGGAAAGAAGACATAAAATGTCAGCATGATTTGCTTTGTTGAAATTCCACGGACGGAAAATATCATCCTTTTAAATATTTAAAAGGAAATTAAAGAAGCAATAGTTACCTTTATAACTGGAAGGATATTTAGCCGCTTTTTAAGAATTCCATAGAAGGACCTGCAAATTAAAAAATACTTTTTGTTAGAAAGTTTAAAAAAACAATAACATCCTATATTATTTTTAAAGCGTTTGATATCAGACAGGGAAAGTGAACAGCACGGTTGTTTTAGGGTTCTACTCAGAAGAGGGAATCCTGAGTTAGGAAAATATCATCATAGGCAAACGCTTATCAATAAATATAGCTTTTAAGACATGTTAAAATATACTAACGTTTTGGTTGCAAATCAATCCAATTTTAAGGTCTTCGAAGAACGTGAACCATTTTCCCATCTGAAGTATAAAAGAAATATAAATTGTTATTCAAATTAAATAAAGGTTAAATATAAAATATTTACAACATTTAATCAGCTTCAAAAAGTTTGTAACATGTGTGTTTTCTAATGAACTATACTAGAAGTAACATCATAAAAACTATTTGAAATGTAATACTTGGAAATAAACCCACCTCAGATATGATTAGCAAGACGAAAAGAAGTCGCACGATAAGCACAATTCTGCTGGGTAATCTGTAAAAATAGAAATCATTTTCGTAAGTAAATTGTATTATTTCTTTTAGTCAATAAGCTGCTTTAGTTTTAAGTATCAGTAATATTTCTCCGCATGGTCCACTCAGTAGAACGAAAGTTAATAGATAAAAGGTATTCATCATTTAAACTATGGCAGCATTTTATAAAATAAAATTATAAATCTCACCTTGGTTGCATTTAAAAAGACCAATTTAGCGCCAGTTCCCATCGATTCTTGTCAAGGCTGCAAAATAAATAAACATAAGTTAGCAAATCATAAAATGAAAATTTTTTGCTTTAACAAATTTAATTCAGTTGCAAAAATTGCAGCCATTTAGTTTTAATCAAAGAAGTCGTACGGTAATTTTATTCATCAATAAAAAAAAAATTATGTAAATTAAATAACTATTTTTCTTACCTTTTTTGATTCCATATTGGTTGACTTTGTATTTTTCCACCATGATAAAATCTAAAACGAAGAAAATGTAATTAGTAAATAGCACTTGTTAAATAAACGTAGATTTCTCAATGATATTAATCAGTTACTATTAAATAGCAGCCATGGGGTTTAATATCACGGAAATCAAACGGTAATTACTTGTCATCATTTAAATGTTTTATGGTGTGTATTACAACTTAAACTTACCTCATGATGAAGGAATTTTCTCGGAAGAAGTTGTTCGGGCTCCATAAATCATTCTGTAAAAGAAAGAAATCTAAGGTTAGTTTTTCAACGTCATTTTTCTTTCACATTAAAAATATATTTTTAGGGTTTCAGAATCCTTTTGGTTTAATTTTAAGTTGTGAATCAACAGCACTTTGTTCAGATTGAACTTATCATCAGGAAAGTCTTAGAAATATACATTTTTGTTGCATTTATCTTACCTTGATCACATTTTTTTAGAATGATCCATAAAAATGGCGGCTTTTCCATATGCAGTTCTAAAATTAAAAAGAAAATTTGAGGTTAATGTTTTTGAACTTTTTAGAATTCGAAAATTAATTTATATTTGTTTTCTCAGAATCCTTTTGGTTTAATTTTTAAGTTATAGATCAACAGCACTTTGTTCAGATTGAACTTATCATCAGAATAAATTATTAACTAATTTAATGAAGAAAGGGATAGCATTACATACCTATGGAGGGCAATGCCGGCTCGGTCGTGCTCTCTCTCTCTCTCTCTCTCGCTCTCCCCCTTAGAGGCCACGTGTTTTTCACATCTAGAACAAAGAAAAATAAAAAGGTTAATTTACTGCCTTGCACGTTGCACTAAAATGCATTTTAGTTAATATTTGTTGTTTATCAGTTGGCCGTTCTTATTCTTTCTACAGGAAGAGTGCCGAATCTTGCGATCTGGCACTCGACTCTTCAGAAAAAGAACATTCATCAAAAAACTGGGAAAAACCTCGGAAAATATTTTTCACTTACTTTTAATCCATTAATTGCAGTTGCATCCGACTGGCTAATCAACTTTTCTTTGCTTTAAAATATGCAACCAGCATATTGCTATTCATTGATGTAATCATTTCTATAATATAGATATAGAATCTATAATCTGTTCAACGCGTGACTGCGCTCTCCGAAAAATTTTGAATTAAAAGAAATTTAAAAGGTTTGCACGTTGCTTTTATAGATTTTTACGATTTTAGAGTGACCAGAAAGGGTAAACCCCGTTTTCTATTATAAAGACGTCGCGCTTCCCGAAGTTTTCGTATTTTCAGTGGTACTAACCAGGGATGTCAATTTTTTCTGATCAAGTTGGCATACCTTTATGTTTTTTTAGAGTGGCCATAGAAGGTAGTCGATTCTAGTCGATATATCGTTAAAAACAATCGAATATTTAATAATAATTTAACAAAAACAATTTAAAAAGTATGTCCCAATGAACAAATTAATACAAAATTTATTTCAAAATGTTAGTAAAATAATCTTTTATAAATTTTTAACAATTTATTTTTAATACAATAAAATTGTACATATTAGTAATTCATAGTTATTTGGGGCAGCATATTATAAACCTCATAATTTAAAAATAACATTATTATTTGGCACTACTTATATTTTACTTTGCATTCCCTTCACTGCATTCTGAAAAACTATAAAAATTAATATTTATCTTAATATATAAATATAAAAAAATGGCATGTATATGTTGATCCTAATTTTCTATATTTGATTTTAAATGTTGTGAATCGAGTGTACAAATTTTAGAGGCATTACTGTACTTAATCTTCTTCTTCTACGCTTTGTTTACATTCACGATAAATACACGTTTTTGCAGAATGTTTGATAATAAAGGAGATAAACTGCTGCTCGAAATCGAGGAGGAAGATGCTGATCCCGAGGAGCAGCATCCCCGCTGCGAGCATGGACCCACTGTGCTGTTCTACCGGCAATCGCAGCTTCCCGGCCAGGGATATTTCGCCTGCTCCGCCCACCGGGATTCCGAACTTTGCAATTTTCACCTGCCGGCGGATCAGTGGAGAGGTCAAACCTCTGGGACACCACTTCCTCAGAGGAATTATCCTTTAGCAACCGGAAAAACAAGAAACCCCTCCCTTCTTGACCCCACATTAAGCATAACAGCGCTTTCCGAGGACAAAGTCAATGCCCAATATTTCTTCGATGAAGCTGCTGTTAAATTCTTAACTAGTCAGTGCAAAAATATAGGAGCCAGGTGGGTAAATCTATTATGATCTGTAATCCCCCACTGACACCTTTTAATTAGCAAGGTAATCTGCATGGGCGCACCTCGTTTGCATTTTCACCTGCGCCACCAACTGCAAAGTTTCCTTCTGGATTTGGATGAGAGATTTGCGGAATATCTGGGACCTGAGGAGTTCTGTCTCTACAACATGTGCAATAATCACTTTTTCTACAATCGCAGTCCCTTTGAGAAGTTCCTGGAAGGTACTAGGTAAGTCAGTAACCCTTAAATGTATCTAATTTAAAGGAACCTCCAATTTACAGTACAGAACAACTGGTGATTGTGACGGATCCTCCCTTTGGCTGTCGAACTGAACTGATTTCTCACACATTGCGCAGCCTGAGAAGACTCCACAACCGAATCAACCAGCTGCCCTCCACTCCACTGTCCATGTTCTGGATATATCCCTACTATTCAGCCAACTACATTAGGCAGGAAATGCCTGAGATGGAAATGAGCGACTACAGGATAAACTACACCAATCATTTGAGATATACAAACGTGGGAAAGCAGAGTCGCTTCTGCGGATCCCCCGTGCGTTTGTTCACTAATGTGCCACTGAGATTGCTTCAACTGCCCGTGGAGGAGGGCTATAAATACTGCCAAAAGTGCGAATGCTACACGGCCAACGAAAACCTTCACTGCAATCGCTGTGGGAAATGTCCCTCTGTGAATGGTCAGTCATATAGACACTGTGATGCCTGCGATCTTTGTGTGAAACCCAACTATGTTCACTGCAGCAACTGCAGGAGATGCACTCAAAAGGAGGGACACAACTGCTCCTTTTACCAGACCAAACAGCGCTGCAGGCTGTGCGATCAAAAGGGGCACATAGAAACCGAGTGCCCGAACTTTAAAGGAAAGTTACAGCACACCAAAGGCTGTCTTCTGTGCGGCAAGCGGAATCACGGCGAACGAAGATGCATCCAGCGATCAAAGTACTTCAGGGAGCACCATTTCATGGACGAAATCACCGTTGAGTGTTTATAAGCACCCTATTTGTTCTTAACACTTGTTGAATAAATCTTACTCCACCCAAAAACAGCACACAAAACCTGTGTTTAATACAAAATTTATTTGTTCTTTACACTTTTCGTTGAATGTCTTACAAATTTTGAATTGCAACGGCTGCGCGCGGAATTTCTAATGCACATGACCACGATAAATTGTGGAATGAATGAACTCAGCCCGCCGAACGATCAAGCGAACGAACGGATGCGGATTAGGAAGTTACGATGTTACGATTTAATTTTGAAAATATGCATTACGTTTAAACAGGTTCTTTAACTTAGGCTTAGGTATAATTAATTTCATGTGGAAAACACACCAATGCCTCAACGCGCGGAATGGATCGCATGTTATCTTGCCGAGAAAGAAATGATGACGTCGACAGTGTTCACGTTCGTTGAGGTGAAAGTATTTTATTGGCTACGAATTGAATGGCTTAAGAACGATTGTATTTGCCCCAGATGTGCAGCATGAAGACGGAAGCGATGAAGAGCAGCGACATGACCAGCACGGGCACGGGTCCACTATGGAAATATGGATTAGAGTGTCATAAGAGGGGTTCTTCAAGAGGAGGCCGCCTACTTACACCTTGATTCCGGGAGAGTCGTCCGTGTAGAAGCGCCACATGCCACCAGTTCCGGCTCCGCCGGGAGCACGACTCCGGGCCGCCGTGGTGCTGCTGGTGGTCTTGCGCTGCTTCAGGGTGCTGCCGCCTCCGGATCCGGCGCTACGTGGCGCCGACAATTTGCTGGGCGAGCGCGATCCGCTGCCCACGGACGTCGAACTTGCTGGAGCGGGCTGGTGAAAACTCATCTAATTAGTGGCCGCACTCAATTGCCCTGCACTTTAACTCACCATTTTGGGCTGTTTCTGTTTTCTGGACCGACTGACCTGGAAAATGTGAGCAGGCGAAGTGGAATCTGAATGTGAATCTGACGTGCTCGCCTCGGCTTCGGGTCGCTTCGTCTTTTTTCGTTCCACGTCACTTTGGTGGTGGCACCGCGCCCGATAGGTCGTGTGTCAGGGCTGGCAACTATCGCGTATTAGACAGCTGGAGATGACACCGAAAAGTCAAAAGCAACTATCGGTTTATATGAGTTTTTAATTAACTACATTGAAATAAATAAAGTTGCTCGCTTACGGGAAAGGTTTGGGGTCGTATAGTATTTACATTTTTATAAAAAACGAATTAAAATTAATTGTAACATTTTTGTATAAATTGTTGTCATCTTTATAAATCACTATAATAAAGAAACCGTAGTAAACCACAGTAATCCGTAGTAAACCGTAGTATATCGTAGTAAATCGTAGTAAACCGTAGTAAATTGTAGTAAACGGTAGTAAACGGTAGTAAACTGTAGTAAACCGTAGTAAATTGTAGTAAACCGTAGTGCATCGTAGTAAACCGTAGTAAATCTTAGTAAACCGTAATAAACCGTAGTAAACCGTAGTAAACCGTAGTAAATTGTAGTTAATCGTAGTAAATCGTAGTAAACCGTAGTAAATCGTAGTACATCGTAGTACATCGTAGTAAACCGTAGTATATCGTAGTAAACCGTAGTAAATCGTAGTAAATTGTAGTACATCGTAGTACATCGTAGTATATCGTAATATATCGTAGTAAACCGTTGTAAATCGTAGTCAATCGTAGTCAATCGTAGTAAATCGTAGTGAATCGTAGTAAACCGTAGTAAATCGTAGTAAACCGTAGTAAATCGTAGTAAACCGTAGTAAATCGTAGTAAATCGTAGTAAACCGTAGTAAATAGTAGTAAACCGTAGTTAATCGTAGTAAATCGTAGTAAACCGTAGTTAATCGTAGTAAATCGTAGTAAACCGTAGTAAATAGTAGTAAACCGTAGTTAATCGTAGTAAATCGTAGTAAACCGTAGTTAATCGTAGTAACAACATTGAACGGAATATATAGACGCATTCAAAACGAATTACGGATTTGTTAGGACACTTTTTAAAATCAAAACATAATCGTAACTCAGCTAAAGGGAGTGCGAATTGAATCATGTTACATTAATACTTAATTAAGCCTTAAATATGTTAATGGTTTTTATATTTGTTGACCCGCTGATTTCGACATTTTTTTGTTAGATTACGTACAATATGTAATCAATAACCATTCTTGTGAGGCGTGTTAATAATGAATGTGCCTTATTGGGCTCATACCAAAATAAAAATTATATTTGTTGTAGTAATGAACTGTAAAAAATTTGGCAACTAAAAATAGAAAACCCTAAATACAAAATTTAACAGAAACCATTTTGGTTTTTGCTTTCTATTCACCAGTTTGATTTACATTTTAAGCAAATTACCAACTTTTTCAGTTTTTGGAACACCCCAAACACAAATAAACAACAATTTATTTTATAGCCAGAAAAAAAGCTAAATATAAAATATCGATAACTATCCCAAGCATCTCTGTATAAAGGGTATTTTTAGACATTTTTGCCGGGCAAGCGTAAGAAACTAGACGCGCAATTAGTAATTACTAACTAAACAATATTAGTAAATAGGAAAAGGCAGAAAAACAATAATTAAAGTTAAATATTTCATTAAGACTGTAAATAACCTTCGACTGGCATTTAAAATCGCGCGACGGGCATACTGAAGAGCGCGCTTCGGCATTTTCGCACATCGGCACTACGTTCACGTTAATAGCAGCGGCATCATTTTTGCTTGATTTCGGAGGGTTTTTTTCGGTGAAAAAAGGGAAAAAAGTGCTTGGTTTGGTGCGCCCAATGGGTATATTATCCTTCCCGCTAGACAGCCGATGAGTTTATCACACTTTGCGTGATTTACTTGCAAGAAACGCGTCGCATTTCACATACAGCATATTGCACCGACGCACATGAAAAGTTGAACATGGAGGACATAGAATATCTAGATGAGTACAAAGACTTGGTAATGCCAGGTAAGTGTTTCCCCTTTTGAATTCTATAAATATGATATGTGATTTATGCGTGTGATTTATGCGATTGCAGGGATCAAATCGGCTGCTCCGCCCGCCTCCGCGGCCGGCGGCTCCCGGCAGCGTCGCATTTCGTCAGACTCGAGCAACTCGTCGTCGATCGATGCGGACATCTTCCAGAAGCTCTTCCACGGGAAGTACCTGGACGACGAGCTGGACCAGGAGGGTTCGGGCTCGGGCTCCAAGTCCCAGGACAGACGTGCCCGCCGCTCCCCCTCCCCCTACTCCTCCAGCGACGAGTCCAACGACGCTTTGGAAGCCCTTTTCAGTCGCAAGAGCAGCAAATCCAAGCCCTTCAAGCGGCGCGAACGCTACGAGTCCTTTGATTCGGTGGACGACCTGGGTGGGTATCTCTTGATAGCTCTATCCTTTGAATTTTCAAACTTATAGTCACCTTATTCCCACTACAGGCGAAGCCCTTATGCGTCCCTCGCAGCGGTCGACTGTACCCAAGCCCAGCACCTCCCAGGCGGCGGGAGCCAGAAAATCCCACAGCGATGTTCCACATACGAAGAGCAACAGCAACAGCAGCAGCAGCAACTATGGCAAGAAGCCACCGCCTGTTTCCGCTGGAAAAACTGCTCCCAATCGTAGTCCAAATGCCAAAGGCAAAGGCTCTGTAAATGGCAGCAGTCTGGCGTCCAAAAACAAGACAGTTACCATCATAAAGGCACAGAAATCAGATCTAATGCCCTCGAAGCACGAGCCCAAAACAGATCCCTTAAGTAAGTCATTATCTACCTGAATAGCATAGCCTTAACGATGCCTAATCCCTTTGTAATTGCCCACAGATCTGGGCGATTTGTATGGCGACTCGGACAGCGATTCGTCCTACGAATACGAATCGGACTTTTACGGCGATCGCGACTCGGAGGACGAGGATCCCGAACCGGTGATCGACATTTCAACGGACACCAGCAGGACCACTTCGGTGGCGGGTAAGTCAGCGTTATTAACTTGTTGATACTGCCAACCCTCTGATAATATTCATAATATGTAAACACACATAAACCGTGTAGACACTGTGACACCTGTTGTTTCCGAAGACGAGGGCCAGGAGCCGCAGCGGGAGCAGAATGTGGAGCAAGCGGAGAATGCGGAGAATGAGCGGAGTGAGCTTAGTTCGCTGAATGAGCGGCCTGAGAACGATCAGGATTCCGTTCTGAACCGCGTCTACGAGCGCCTGCAATCGTATTTGAGTAATCTCAGTTGCGCCGAGGCGCCGCCAATCTATAAGAAACACAATAGTGCTAGGAAATCCCGCTCCAACGAAAAGAAACCCTCTTCCTCCGAACAGGTTAAGCATGCTAATGACCGATCAGCGGGTAAGTGTGCACCCACGTCCATTGGGGCGACCATTTCTTGACTGTGGACGCCCCCATGAACCCCGTTTACCCCGCCACGCTCTTACATTTGTAACTCTTTCTGCCTTTTTTTCGCTTCACAGCCAGTGACAAGGAGGAGGAAAAGGAACGGGAGCGGGATCAGGAGCCAACGGAGCCCAGCAGCAGTGCCAAATCCTCGGCCAGCAAGGCCAGTGCAAGTCGCAGGCTGTACGATGTGGACGACAATGTCACGCTTGAGACTGTGGAACGCATGAGCCTTGACCTAGCCGAGCAGATCTTGGAGATCGATGTGGAGCGTTCGCACGAGTTCGAAAAGCGATCCGGCTCGAAGACGCGCAGCCGATCAAGATCTAAGATCCCAGCGGATTCGGAAACTCAGCATGGCAAGAGCCATGTACGCAAGCTCACCTACTCCAGCGAACGACTAGATAACTCTGAACCCGCCGGAAACAAGCTGCGGCGTTCGAAGAGCGAGAATTTCCCCAAACGAGGAAAAAAACAGCGTAAAAGTCGAGCGGCAACCACGGAGGAAAAGACCCTGAATGCCCAAGAAGGGGAAGGAGTGCCGGTCAAAAAGAAACGCGGAAGGCCTCGTAAATATTTTCCAAAGGAGGAGACACCAAAGGTGGAGGCTATTGAAAATTCAGCCGAAAGCTTGGAACAGGAAATTCCGCTCCCAGTGGAATCCAGCGAGGCGACAGGGGAGACTAAGGAGAAGGTCAATTTGGAAGAGACACTAGAACAGGATGAACAAAAAGCCGAGTTAGAAAATGCCAAAGAATGTGCAGGAATTGAAAACCTAACCCAGAATGATATTAACATGACTTCATGTGACAACGAAACGGATCTCAAAAGTGCTCCGGACTTGGATAATCAGCTAGATGGAAAAGAACCGCTTGCTGCAATGGACACATCTACCGAAACATTTGATACCGCTCAGGATCACAGCGAAATAAGCGAGAGTGCGACAAATCCAAATGAATTGGAAGATAAGGGGTTAGTTTCAGGAAAAGAGGAAAATCAAAAGGAAGAAATAACTGAAGTACAAACTGCAGTTGAAGATACTAAAGAAATGGAACTACCAACTGAACTTACAAATGCTGATGTAGAAGCGCAGGAGGTCTCTGGAAATATTCTTGAGGAAAGCGATTCACAGCTGGCTGAGGACATTAAGTTGGCTGAAGAGATCTTGGCCGCCGAAGTTGGAAAAGGAATTGAAGTAAACGAGGTAACAGTGGCATCAGAAGAAGGTGGTCAAAATCCTGTAATCGAAATTGTCAAAGAGCTGGAGCAGGAAACAATTTTAGAACCTGTGTCAGTGCCAAACAATCCCAGTCAGTCTGAAGAAACGTATCCAGATCAAGAGGAAATTTTAGGTGATGAACAAAGTGCAGATGAGATACAGACTGCAGATGAAGAGCCTACTAAGGATGAGCCACCTGCAGTATCTAGCGATCAGAATCAGCAAGAGGAAGCTCCCAAGGAGGAGCTATTACCATGTTCAGAAGTTCCTCCTAGCCAAGTTTCTCCAGCCAAGAAACAAAATCCCTCTTCACCAGCTAATACGCCCAAGAAATCAAGAGAGCTCGAAGGTCTGGAGAGTTCCGTTGCAAGAAGAGCGCTTCGATCCGATAAAGTAGCTCCGCAGACACAGCGGGAAAGTCGCTCCAAGATGCCACGGAGAACTGAACTTGCTCTTCTTATGGATAATTCCTCGCGACGAAGTAGTCCACGAATGGGAAGATCGGCAGGGGATAGCCAGTCCTCACAAGAACGCTCTCCGGCTGAAAGGAAAGTGACAACCTCCAAGTTGGCCAAAGAAAATGCAACAGAAAGAAAATCGCTTCCATCTGAGACTGAAACCAAGGTTGCAAAGGAAACCAAAACAACTGAAGACAATCCAATTGCAGATACTTCCAAACTGGCAGAAGAAAAGCTGAACGATAGCGCACCTGAAATAAAAAGAGGCAAGGGTAGGCCATTGAAGTCAAATAAAACCAGGAGAACTCAGGGAGCAGAAAGTAAGGCTACAACTGCGGATTCAAACGAAGAGCTTCCATCTACCTCAAAGTGCGCTGAAGAATATTCAACCTCAAGCGAATCAGAGCTGAAAGACGAAAAGACCGAACTTCTATTGCCTCCAGACCCACCAGCAGATGTAGAACAATCCAAAGCGAGGGAAACTGATACGGCACAGGTTGAAGAAAAGCCCACCAGTCCCAGAAAAACCCGAAGAACGCTGCAGGAAAAACGCAAACCTGATAGCGAAACGCCTTCCGAACAAATTGCACCTAAAAGTGAGGAAAAGGAAGAGCCAACTTCTGGCAGATTAAGCCGTAAAGACAAGGCAATAGTTGAAGCAGCCAAGTCTCAAAAGGACGAAAGTCCACCGGCCAAATCTCATTCTACTGGAAGAAGAGTGACTTCAAAGGAAAAACCTTCCAAAAAAGATCAAACTGAAGAGCAAGCCAATAAGTCCCTAGAACCCGTTGTCAAACAAACTGACAAGGAAAATAAAAGAAAATCAAAAATGAGTCAAAGTAGTGATGAAAAATCTGATAGTCAAATGGAATCGGATCTTGAGAAAAATACGAAAAAGCCGGAGGTCGAATTAGACACAACGAAAGCTGTTCCCTCAGACGCAGAATTGGATGCAATTCCAAAGGACTCTGCACAAGATGTTTCTAAGATTTCGACGGATAAAAAACCCACAGAGAAAACTGCTGAATCGGATACAGAGGAGCAAACCGATAAACCTACATCTTCTGAATGCTCTGAAGTCCCCGATGACTCTTTAAACATAGCTGAAACCGAGAAGGAGGCGGGTTCACAGCTAAGTATGGAAACAGATCAACCAACATCTTCTGAATCAATTGCCTCCGCTGAAAACCCGGAAGAATCAAAGGACAAACAGAAAATCTCGAGACTAGAAAGTGGAAGGATTAGAAAGCGTAGGCAGGCAGTAACCGTTGAGGATCCTGAGGATGCTTTAATTACTACTGAGCCAAACGAAAACGATAACCCTGCGCCTTCCGATTCCAGCCAAGAAGAACCCGAACCTTCATTTCGGTTTGGAAAAACCCCAACGAAAACATACTTAACGAATAAAAGAAACAAAATAACGTCATCACCCTCGACTTTGGAATCTTCGGAAATCGTACAGAAACCAGTCGAGTTGAAAAGCACATCTAACAACGAAAATGAAGTTTTGGACTCGGTTTCGGTGCCAGCTGAAGCTTCGCCAGAAAGTTGCGCGGCCATTCTCCCGAGTACCTCTACAGAGAATTCGCAGACGGATTTACCAACTACTCCGACAACAAGCAGTGACCAAACCAAAAAGACCTTCAGTACAAATAAAAAATCATCGAAATCCAAAAATCGTGGTCCTAGGGGGGCTAAGAAGCCTGAGGATAGTCCTAGTCTAGCATCTGAATCCTTGACCTCTACAAACCAAACAGAACTGAGTACTCCCAAAGTCTCCTGTCGCAAGCTTCGAATTTTGATTAAAAGAACTCCCACATCTAATTTCCCAAAAGTTGTAAAGAAATCTTCCGTCCTAAAGAAAACTCCCGTCAAAACAAAGCGATTAAACAGAATTATTGAGAGCACCGAAGAAAATGCGTTTCCCGAGCAATGGGATAATGAGACGGCGGTTCCTTCTGGTGAAACTTATCCTGATCCTGATCCTGTTCAAGAAACGGTTACCGTTTCTGTTCCTAAATCCGATCCGGTTCCTGAAACTAAGCCAATCCTAAATGAAGAAGTTCCTAAGGAAGCACCGGAGAACGAGGAAAATGACACTGCAAATGAATTAGAAGATAAACTAGAAACAAAACACGACCAAGTCTCCGAAGATATAGAAACTCCTGCCAAGGGGGAAGAACCCATCACAGAAGGATCCTCTGAAGCCGTCGAGCCAAAAGATAGTGCTCATGTTGTCCAGGAATCAAATAATGAGGAGAGTAGTTCTATAACTATGACGGAGCAAGCGGAGGATACCTTAAACGAGGAATTGCCTAAAGAGGAAGTGCCAAAAGATGAACAACCAAAAGGGGAAAGTCAAGAAGAGGAAACCCCTACAGATCAAAACTCAGATAATGAAGTCTTGAACGAAGAATCACCCTCCAAAGAGGAGGACAGTGATTCGGAGGAGATACCAAATCTTGTACCGATTGAGGAGCAACCCGAAACCGATGTTACGGATGATGATGAACCCGCTCAAAGCCCAATCCCCGACTCAACGGAAACAACAAGTGTCACAGACGATCCCGAGGCCAGCACTTCCAGCGCAGTGGTAAAGCGCAGTTTGCGCAAGCGGGAAGCGGATTCCTCACAGCCAGATGGTTAATAGCTTGCCTAATCCTTACATTTAATCAATATTCGTATTTAAACGCATCTAATGAATATTTTCCTTTTAATCCTTTCTCTTTATACAGAAGCTGCTAGGCGAAAGCAACGCCAAAATATGGAGAAGTCGGCAACTGAAAGACAAGAACTGGTCAAACAAAGTGAGTCTATATATTTTTATAATTTATATAAATATTCATATCTATTTTCATTTCAGTTCGCCGACGCCAACTACGCGAGGAAGAAGAGCGACCTACCCTTAAACGCTCCAAAGTTGATCCTGAAACCAAAGCCAATTCAAAGTCCAAATTCATCTCTATTATTGGTAACGAGACCATCATGTCATCCACAAAGCCGCCGATTAAGGAAACCAAAAGCGAGGTGGCAAAAACATCTCAAGCGGAAAGGAAGTCGACGGTCAGGGAATCTAAACACGTTGAGATCACCAGGCATATCATACTACCACCACCTCCCAGGAAGGCGATGAACCCTGGTAGTCCAACTGCGGCGGTCAAGAAACCTTTGGTGCAGACCCTTCTCAGCTCCACTCTTGGTCTACAAAAACCAGTGGATGGTTCTCCTGTGACAAGCAAGAAATCCTTGAACAAATCGGATGCCGATGAAAACAAGGACGGCGATCAGCCGGCACTAAGCTCCTCCATTGTGATGACTAAGAAATCCTTACCAGCCAGCAAGAAAATTGAATCTCAAAAGGATGATGCATCGTCGGCTGCTCCGAGGAAGGTTAACATATCGGTTTCTGTGGTCTCTTCAAGCGAAACTGCAGCAGAGGCTTCTAAAACTCCTGGTTCCACTCCCGAAACGTCGCCAATTTTGCCGCGAAAGGCACAGATTAAGAAAACTGAAGCCAATAAGAAATCTGAGGTCATTAAGAAAGCGGAGGTGAAGAAGAAAACCACATCACAAGGCACTCAGGGAAAACCTGCAAAGTCGGAGGAAGCTGCAGAGCCATCAAAGAAATCTGTTTCTTCAGCTGCGACTGGGCGGAAACCACTACCGCAGTCGGAAGCTCCTAAGAAAACTGAAAGCAGGAAGTCAGAGGCATCTTCGGGAGAATTAAATCCCCGTAAAGCGCCGCCTCAAGTGGATCGTTCTAAAAAAGTCGAAGCCAGGAAATCAGCAGGAGCTTCTTTAACTGCAGCTGCTCGGGAACAAATCCCGCAAACAGATGTCGCCAAGAAAACCGAAGCCAGGAAATCTGAGGGATCTTCTTTGCCTGCAAATGCTCGTAAATTAGTATCTCAAAAAGATGCCGCCACGAAAAGCGAAGCCCGGAAATCTGAGGCTCCTCCTAAAGCGGCTACGGACGAGGAAATTGTCAAGAGAGTCCCAGCCGAGACAATTGTGACAACGGTCAGGGGTCGCGGGTCCGTCAAGAAAACCAAACCCGATCCGCGCAAGTCGAAAGCCAAGCCGGAGTTACCTTCCTCGGACGTTGAAACGGCCACCGACTCGCGGGATTCTTCCCGCGATAAATCTGAAAGACCCGTAACTGTGTCTTCTCGGCAATTTAGCTTAAATAAGTCTGTTCATATGACACGAGCTGCCAGCACCAACAGATCATTGGCTCCCACACCAACTCCCATGCAGCGAAATGATTCGGAGCAACAGCTACCGATGATGGAATCTTCCTTGGAGAAGACTTTCAAGTCTCGTGGACGTGGCGGTAAGAAGGGGCAACCCGCTATGAAAAGAAAAGCCGAAGAAGCTGCGGACGCCAATGAACTGGCCATTGCAAAGCGACCCAGAGAGCAGCCTGATGAGGATTTGCCTGGTTTTTTGGCATTCCCAGTGAAAATAACTTCCACCAGCTCCACCGTTGATCCACTAGCCGTTTCTCCTACGACTAAACCAGCTGAGCAGCTGGGTAAAGTACGCAAACTTCGCGTTAGAATAAATCGCAGCCCCTTCAACCAGTGGCTACAGGAGAAGAAGAACCGCGAGAAACAGGCAGGCTTACGGAAACTACTTGCACCAACCCGTGAGACCTCGGAAACAGATTCTGCGGCAGAGTCCATGTCGGAATCAATGCGGCAGCCCCAGGCAGATCCTGCAGCGACTGTTGTTAAGCCAGCTTCTTCAACCGCAGCTCCAGCTGCTCCTCCATCTGCATCTGTGAAAGCCCAGAAGGCAACGCAACCAGCTAAAACCACATTGAAAACCGCTATTTATCCGCTGACCGAAAAAGATCTTCCCAGCGACGCAACGCTTTCAGAGAACGCCAAGAAACTGGAGAACCAGCGACGGGTGATACAGTATCACGCCAAGTTGATGCCACTTCCCGTTCCGATTCCAGAGGTGAAGAGCGAGCCAGAGGATGCTCCGCCGGAGCCCATGGACGAGGATCCACTTATGGTGCCCTTGCCTGTGGCAGCAACAGAAGCACCAGTAGCACCGCCACCACTATCGGGGATTGAGGACACTGGCCCCCCCACCACCATTCAAATCAACAACTTGGCTGCTTCCACTTCCTCGCGCGTGAGTGCCTCCCATTTGATTCCCTCGGCCAGTGCCGGCGGCAATCCCAATTCCGTTGGCCAGACCAAGATGTTCTCCTTCCTGTACCCGATGCGCTACAAGCGAGCGTACGACGACGTGGGCCTGGACTTTTGCTGTCCAAATCTGGATGGGCCGATGCGGGCCATTGATTTCACGCGCCTGCATTCGACCGCCGAGGTGCCGGTGCTGGAGGTGCCGCAGTTCCTGGTCATTACCACCAAGTTAATCTCCAAGGGGGAGAAGAATCTTCCCAGCAAGGTGCGAGCTAAGATGGACTTGATGGGTAAAGCGAAGGATTTGAGTGATTCTATTCCGGCTTCTGGTCAGACGCCCGCTTCCGAAGCTCCTCCACCGATTATACAAAGTATTCCTCCCGCTCCTGTTGCCCCAACGAAACCAGATTCCTCCAGCATTCCCACAACCATGGATACATCCCAGTTCCCTTCCGCTGTTCCATCTGATCCAGCTCCTCCAGTAGTTTCCCAGTTGTCGCGAGGCATAACGAAGAGAACTTCACAACCAGGCGCTGTTATTCCGGCCACAGCCAGCTCCTCGATGGCAGCCAATCTGCCGCCGACACTCATCCAGTTGCCACCAATTTGCCCTGCGGACCAGCAGCGAGTGGAGCTGCAGGCAAAGGTTCAAGCGTTCGATCTGGTTCTCCAGACTCTCAGCCGGCGGGCCGCCAACTTAACGGTGGCCGAGAGACAGAGCACCATTGAGGAGATCGTGAGGACCAGCTCGCTGATGGCCATCGACGTGGATGTGGGCACCAAGTTGTTGGAGAACTACGTGCATTATCTAAACAAGGTCACCAGCACGAGTACGCCTTTGCCGCAGCCGCAAATTAGCTCTGCGACTCCCATCGCTGCTAATCCCTTGCTTCCCATCGCATCTACCAGCTCTTCGCTTTCCAAAAGCATCGTGAGCTCCAGCACCGCCTCTGCCTCCGATACGCCAACTCCGCGCAGCTCCCTTCCCACCAGCGTTCCCCTCTACGATGCGGACAAGAATATCATTGGCTTTCAGTGTCCAACCGCGAAGCCACCGACTGTGGGGCGAAAGGCTGCTCCGGCTGCCACCAGCACGCCTGCAAGAGCATCTACATCCTCGACAGCAGCGGCAGCAAAGGTGCAGTTGCGTTCCACGCAGGGAGGAAGAAAGAGTGTCGGAGGAAACGCCAGTCAGGTAAATATATATTTTATGAGAAACAAGAGAACCCTTGCAGATCATTCCTATTAATTTACAAATCGCAAAAATTTTAAATTTCCTATTATTTTGACATTATTTTTTCCTGATCTTCCTATGGCAGCTATATAATAAAGTTGTCCGATTTTTGTTGAATTTAATTCGAAATTCGGAAATATTAAAAAAGGGTCATATCCTAGAGTAGGGGAGAATACAATAAAAACCAAAGAAGCTAAAATTGATTTCATATTATTTCCCCATTAATTTTCCGATCGTTCCTATGGGAGCTATATGATATAGTCGTCCGATTTTTTGCAAATTTTATCCGAAATTCAGAAATATATAAAAAACATTGTTTACAAAAGTAGAAGGTAATATTTCAAAAAAAACCGAAGCTAGAATTTTTTCCCATTAGTTTTCCGATTATTCCTATGGGAGCTATAGGATATAGTTGTCCGATCCGGTTGGTTCCGAATTAAAGTTTCAACCCGATAGCTTAAAAACTGAGAGACTAGTTTGCGTAGAAACGGACAGACAGACGGACGGACAGACGGACATGGCTAGATCGACACGTCTGACCGAAATCATAATACATTCTGCAAGGGTATAAAAAGCCTTTACATTACTAACCCATAATGTCCACCCACAGATTGTCAATCTGAACACGACGGTGTCTATGAACAAGCCAGCGCCAAAAGTGATCCCCAAAAATAAACAAGCGGCACAGGGCACTGTGACGTCCATTAATCAGCCGGCAACTGTGCAGAGGCAGGTGCTATGCAAGAAGAAAACCACGCCGATAAGAACGGTCACTCAGACCAAGACGACACCATCACCCGCGGCACCAGCATCCACTACACGAGCTCCGACGAAACCAAGAGCGACACCCAGTACAGTACCAGATGCCGCCCCAGTTGTAGCCCCCGCCGGAATGAGTCTCAGTAGCACCTCGAATCCGAATGTGTTTATCATCAACCAGGCCTTGCAGCCGGAGGAAAGCATCCTGCCCGATTCAAACAATGCGGTAGCGCCCATGGAAACGGAGATCAAGGGCGAACTGGACGACTCTTCGGAGGTTATTATCTAGCGGAGCAAAGACTATAAACCAGATGGAAAGTATTCTAAGTTACTTTAACACAGTTAATTAAGAAAAGTTAATTATTTCGTTGAACGCAAGAACAGAATTATGTAATTCTATTATGAAGAATTTGTTAAACCTTTCGCACCATTCAATAATTTTTTCTGAAAATAAATGGATTAAAATTGTAATCAATGTGCGGTTTTGAAGTTAGTAAGTGTATATTTTTAGAAGTTAACATTGCATAGTTGATAAAAAATCACACAACACACACTAATTATAAAAAACATACCTTAAATAAAATTATTTTTTTGTAATAAAATAGTTATAAACAATTTTGAATGGCAGTATTCATAGCTTTTATCAGAAGCTTATTTAGTGAAAGCTCTTGTGAAATATAAACAAAATTATGTATAAAAGACGAGAAGGGGAAGAACCATATTTAATAACAACAAAATATCCAAGATGAACACACCCAACAGTAAGTCTGAATAGTTTATGTTACAAATAACGTATTATAATGATATATTTTATCTACAGGTGCATATCCCGACTTGGAAAAGCGACTGGATACGTATATGCGAAGAATTTTCTACCTTAAAGAAATCTATACAACAAATGAGTATGATCCGAATGAAGTGGAATATTTTGTGGTCTTCAGCTTAACCGATGTTAGAGCTCCACGTCGAAAATTATGGTATATGTACTATGCGACGACGGATCAATTGGACAAAACCGTGGATCGGATCCATCGTAAATATGGACAAAAGAATATGTACGAGCTGTTCAGGAAACCGGTGTTCACAGGGGTCGGAATGCGATCCCGAGTCAGAAATCACTTTGGAGGATTGAAGTGGTACGTGAAAGGAAACGTATTGGAAGCTTCTCCCGACAGCCCCTATAATGATGAGAAGGTGATAAACACAATTGCTGATTTGTATCAGGCCGAAAGGAGAAAGTGCTACGATTTCCTAGTGTCTAGGAACAATGTGTTGGATCGTTCAAGGACCTACGAACGTCTTAATGTGTAACAGATGATTGTATTCTATAAGATATTTTTCTACAAAGATATAAATAAAAGACTGCGAGTATATTATAACCATTTTATTTATTTAACTTTTCTAGGGAGTGGAAGTCGATTATCGACGTTTGTTAACGGGTAAAGTCCATGAATCAACTTAAATCTTGAACTGCCTTTAATTGTACTCTTACTGCAAAGAATATAAATCGTTAAGCCTTTCGCATCATTCGTTAATTTTTTCTAAAAATAAATGTGTTAAAATTGTAATCGCTGTACGGTTTTAAAGTTTGTAAGTGTAAATTTTTTAGAAGTAAACATTGCATAGTTGATCAATTATCCCACAATCGCACTAATAAGAAAGAAAAAAAAAATAACATTTTATTTTTAAATAAAATAATTATAAACAATTTTGAAAATAATTGAAGATAGCGTTATTTATAAGCTTTTATAGAAGCTTTGCCAGTTTGTGGCGAAATATTTGACGAAAAGCTCTTGTGAAATATAAACAAAGTCATGTATAAAAGTCGAGCTGGGGAAGAACCATTATTATTAACTACAAGATATCCAAGATGAACACACCCAACAGTAAGTCTAAATAGTTTATGTTAGAAACAACATATTATAATGAAATCTTTCACCTGTAGGTGCATATCCCGACTTGGAAAAGCGAATGGAAACGTATATGCGAAGAATTTTCTGCCTTAAAGGAATCGATACAACGAATGAGTATGATCCAAGTGAAGTGGAATATTTTGGGGTCTTCAGCTTAACCGATGTTAGAGCTCCACGTCGAAAGTTATGGTATATTTACTATGCGACGTCGGATCAGGTGGACAAAACTGTGGATCAGATCCATCGTAAATATGGACAAAAGAATATGTACGAGCTGTTCCGGAAACCGGTGTATACAGGGGCTGGAATGCGATCCCGAGTCAAAAATCACTTTGGAGGACTGAAGTGGTACGTGAAGGGAAATGTTTTGGAAGCCCCTCCCGACAGCCCCTATAATGATGAGAAGGTGATAAACACAATTGCTGATTTGTATCAGGCGGAAAGGAGAAAGTATTACGATTATCTGGTGTCTAGGAACAATGTTTATAAGACATGGACCTACGTGCATCTGAATGCGTAACAGATGCATCTATTCTATAAGATTTAATTCTACAAACCTATAAATACAAGACTGCGAGTAAATTGTAACCAGTATTCTGTTAACGTTTGTTGGGAGTGGAAGTCGATTATCGTCGATTGTCAATGGGTAAAGTCCATGACTCACTTCCCATTTTGAACTACCTTTAATTGTCATCTTACAGCGGGGAATATACCCAACTTTGAGGATAAATTAGAGAAGTATTGGAGGCGTCTTTTTTATCTGCAGCCAAAGGCAGAATCCATTCCTTTGGATCCTTATGCAGTAGAGTACTTTGGAGTTTTTAGTATTAGTGATCCCCAGGCCACCGACCGAAAACTTTGGTACATCTATTGCTGCCTGAGGACTGAAATTCCAGAAGTTGTGGAGAGGATACGCCAGAAATATGGCAAAAAGAACGTGTACGAAATTTTTCAGAAGCCGACATTTAGCGGAGTGGGTTTTCGCAGGATCGTGAGAGATTACTTTTCCAACCTAAAGTGGTTTACTAGCGGTAATCTCTTGGAGGCGCCTCCAAATAGTTACTATAATGATGAAAGAGTTGTCAAGATGATTTCAGATTTGCACGATAAAGAGCAAAGAAGGCTGTTTGACTATATAATGGTGCAGCACGATTGGTTTAAGCGGTACAATGATCAAAAACCACCCCCTAGCCGGCATTAAAATTGTAAATAATTAAATGTAAACAAATAAAGCTTATTTCTTATCGATAGCCAGCAGAGTTGCATTCAAAAGCTCTTTTGGCTCTATTGTGAAATTGGAAATCGTAAACAAAACAAATTTATTACTGGCCAGTTGAAATATCAGTTTCGGGGGTATTTAAGAACAGTGCGTAGGAAATAAGGTAACATTCATAAGCACAACGTAAGAGACACTACCTCATTGTTACAGAAGATGGCGACCAACGCAGTTAAAGACAAAAACTCAGGTAACTAAAATGGCATAAAATCACATTTTGACATTACCTGATGATGACTAATATCTGCAGAAACAGATTACGACCTGGAAGAGGAAATCGACAACCACTTGAGGCGTGTTTTCTACATAAAACCAAATGGTGACTCCCCGAAAATGAACCCATACATAGTGGAGTTCTTTGGGGTTCTTAGTTTAAATGATCTGCGGGCGCCTGAGCGTAAACTATGGGTTATCTACTTCTGCAAACAGCCGGAACTGGACAAAACTGTCGACGAAATCCACCAGAAGTACGGCAAGAAGAATATGTTCGACCTGTATCGCACCCCAGTTTTCAGTGGAGCTGCTCTGCGGGCCAGTGTAAAGAAGCACTTTTCGGGGCTCAAGTGGTTTACCAACGGAAACCTGCTGGAAGCCCCTCCAAAGAGCCACTTTAACGACGAGCGAGTGGTCAAAACCATTACGGATCTGCATCACCAGGAGCAGCAGAGGCTGTACAACTATGTAATGGTGAAGCATATGTGGTATCACCGATACAGATAACTCCTAGTGATTGACTAACCCTGTGATTTAGTAGTAATTTTGCTTTAAATAAATGTGGCCTTAAAAGTTCGCCTATAGTTTTCTTTTAACCCATTTATGGAAATAACAAAAAAATAAAAAAATTGTAATACAATTTCATTGATTTTTTTTGCAAATAAATTGTTATAAAGTTAGCCTAATAAACTTTTCAGTTCTTAAATATTTTCAAATATTTAAGTAAGGGTTAAAGTTCCTATCGATATCCCACGCACGATAACACACGCCCTCGCCTATCGCCACCCCTGCCGAAGCGTGCGTCTTCTCAAACGCAGACAGAATAAATAACACTCGCCAAAGGCCAGCATTTAATTGATAAACACTGTCTGGGTGTGCAATACAGCAGGGAATCGAACCCTTCAAGATGGTAGGTACAGGACTCGAATACCCGGGCAGTGCTCACCCACTAATAAAATTTTTCCCCGCCACTAAAAGTCCTCGCGTTCCTCCGAAGAGCGAAACTATTTACATCGCAAGTTCGACAGGTAAGTTAAAAACTCCTTAAGAAAATAGAAAACTAAGCTATTCAATTGCAGCAGTAGCTACAAGAACAAACGGTCCGCTTCATCCTCGTCAGCCAGGACAACTTCCTCGGGACACAAGGACCGCAGGTAAATGTGTACACACATTCGAGGGCCGAGCCCCTCCTAAACGATACCCCTTTTGACACCGAGTGGCATCGACTGGCATCGAGTAGCAGTTGGGAAAAGTACTCAACTGTCATTTGGGGAACTTTGCCTTTCATTTGGATTCACCTTTCAGCCGAGAAAGACGCTTAGCCGATTTTAATTTATAGATTTGGAGGAAAGCAAAACCCAACTTGCTATGTAAGAAACGCATTGAAACACTAACTTGTTTTTGCCCGTCCAACAGCCGAAGAATAGTTCCGAAATACATAGTTCGAATAGAATTGAATTGAAATTGTCAAGCTACACGAAATACACAATTTTCCAACTGTCAATTAGCAAGATTCGCAAGAACGAACCGCAAGATAAACTAATCCCATTCCATTCCACACCAAATCAAGGTCGGACTTTGATTACTATGGCAGCCGTCAGCGCCACCAGCGCTCCCGTTCGCGTTCCGGCTCCCAGTCGCCGGCTCATCAGTCCCGACGACGCTCCTCCCGCGATCGCGATCGCCAGAGGATGCACAAGGCTCGCGTAGGTCAACCGGATCATAAATCTTGGCTCTTGTTTACTAAAACGGAGTTTTCTGCCTTTGCAGGAACATCCCCAGGCCAGTCGTTGCATCGGAGTCTTCGGCCTGAACACCAACACCTCGCAGCACAAGGTTCGCGAGCTCTTCAACAAGTACGGACCCATCGAGCGCATCCAAATGGTCATCGATGCACATGTAAGAGTGGTTTTAAAGTTCTCTATTAAGACAACTCCCGCCCGAATAACTTTGAGTGAAAAATCTGCTTAAGCCCTGCAGATTTACCTTTATTTCTGGCTAGATTATAGTAGACGGCGATTGTGTGCTTTTGTGTGTAGTCCAAACTAAAAGCAAAAGGCTTGCTGTCACATCTGCATAATGTTTATCCCAGTTTAATGGCTAATTTATTTATATTTTTACTAAAACTCTCTTTGAAATCTTTTCCCCCACAGACACATCGTTCGCGGGGCTTTTGCTTCATTTACTTTGAGAATCTCGAGGACGCCCGTGTGGCCAAGGACGCTTGTTCCGGCATGGAGGTCGATGATCGTCGCATTCGCGTCGACTACTCTATAACCCAACGGGCTCATACTCCTACTCCGGGTGTCTACATGGGTCGTCCGTCGCGCAACGGAACCTCGGGACGCTCCCGTTCGCCACGAGGAGGAGGACGACGTCGCGAACGCGAGCGTTCCGTTTCGCCCACCGACCGCAATAGGAGTAACTACCGCAACGATCGCTACGAACGTAGCTACCGCAGGAGTTCCAGTCGCCATCGCTACACCCGCAACAAAAGCTACAGCCGCTCACGTTCTCCTCAAACTCGTAAGTGATTTCTTGGGATTCTTGTTGATCAAGATCTTTAATTTATAATTTTTGTTTGCCCACTCAGGTCGCATTTCATCGCGCTATTAGTGCGCAGTGGAGCTAACGAGGCCCACTTCCTTAACTCGTGCTTCTAATCGGCCAACTGGATTGTGTCAAACGGCCTGCGGAGGAGCATACGACTGAAATATTGTGTTTTTGGTGAAACCATCCCATCTATGGCATTTGGTTGGCGAACAGCTCGCACCTAGACTAATTTCGAAATCCATTATTCACCCCAAAAACCGCTTCTAATCATAAATATTCGTTAACCATTATTGATGCTGTACAAAAACGTAGTTTGTAAATATCAAATCCAATACCAACATTACATACAGAGGTCCGCATAGATTGTGATATGTATTTTAAAGGAACCGCAGCAAACTGATAATGATAACAAAACTAAACTAATTTTAACTATAAATGTAATTGTGCAGCAAGTACAAAATAAAATTGAAATTGTACAGAAAAGTTTGGGGTTTTATTTATTTTATTTAAGAGTAGGAAACGTTTTCACATATATTTCCATCAAATTCCTGAAGCTTAATAATATACCTTAAATAGTTAGTTATAGGAAAGGATAGGATCTCTCCAGGAAACGAGTTAAACATATAATGAATTATCTGGAAAAATGCTTGGCGACTAAACCTACAATTTTTCATGTAGCACTTGGGTTTGGTTTTGCTGCCGCTGAAGTCGAAGCCTCTCCTGTTCCACTCGTGGCCTGTGTCGCCCGGGAGGCTTTGTAGGCCAGTTCCAGGCTCTGGTTTATCACATGCATGTCCCCCTCGATGCTGCGTGCCCAGTTCTCCACGTCGCCCAGTTCCTTGAGGGCGCTGCTGAACTGATCAATCATCTGCAGCCATTGGTGCGTCTGCTTGGCGAAGTTGGTGGCTCCCATGTGCAGTTGCTTGGCCTCCGCATCCAGGCGCTTTTGGTTCAAGTAGGCCTGGGCCACGCCCACATTGAGGGTGTCCACCAGGGATTGGGTCAGCTCGTTGGAGGCTTCTATGGCCTCCTTGCGACGCACCTCTGGAAAACTAGATTGTGAGTACTTCTAAGCTTAGAAACTTAGTAAATTCCTTACCCTGCTCTTGTTTCCGCTTCACCTGCTCCTTGTGATGCTCCTTAACCATGGAAGTCAACATATTTAACGTTTTTCTTTGTAAACAAAAGCAAGGAAAAAACAATTTTTGGCCAAAACAAACCAGATCAGCTGCTCTGCTAGAGATGAAGCTCTCTCCATCGATAGGACTTGTCGATAGGCCAGTTGGCCGTTAAAATCGACGGGGTTTCACCTCTATTAGCCACACACGTGCGCGCCTGTTGCGCTCCAATTTTCCTAGAGTTTTTAACAGAAATCGTGGTTTAAATCAGGCGAAATGGGTTCCAAGCGGCCGCAGGACGTGCACATGTTCCCCTCGGACCTGGAGTTCGCCGTCTTCACGGACCAGGAGATCCGCAAGCTTAGCGTGGTGAAGGTGATCACGGGCATCACCTTCGATGCCCTGGGACACGCGATGCCCGGTGGTCTGTACGACATTCGAATGGGCTCCTATGGCAGGTGCATGGATCCTTGTGGCACGTGCCTCAAGCTGCAGGATTGCCCCGGTCACATGGGCCACATCGAGCTGGGCACGCCCGTCTACAATCCCTTCTTCATCAAGCTGGTGCAGCGACTGCTCTGCATCTTCTGTTTGCACTGCTACAAGCTGCAGATGAAGGGTAATCTATATATATTTCTCACTATTACCAGTAAGTAATACTTCTCCCCTTTCAGACCACGAATGCGAGATCATCATGCTGCAGTTGCGCCTCATCGACGCCGGCTACATCATCGAGGCCCAGGATCTGGAGCTCTTCAAGTCCGAGATTGTCTGCCAAAACTCCGATGAGTTGGTTACCCTGCGGAATGGGGATTTGGTGCACCCCCACATTGCCGCCATGTACAGTCTGCTGGAGAAGAACGAGGTGAACTCGAGCAACTCCACCAAGACCAGCTGCTCCCTGCGCACGGCCATCACGCATGCGGCACTGCAGCGAGCGGGCAAAAAGTGCAGGCATTGCAACAAGTCGATGCGCTATGTGCGCTACATGCATCGCCGGCTGGTATTCTACGTCACCCTGGCGGACATCAAGGAGCGGTAAGAAGGAAATCCCTCTTAAAACAGAAAAAACCAGTTAAATTGCTTTATTATCCTCCAGCATTGGTGGTGCCTCCGAGGCCGGTGGTCAGAACAAGGTCATTTTTGCCGACGAGTGTCGTCGTTATATGCGCCAGATATACGCCAACTACCCAGAGCTGTTGAAGCTATTAGTACCCGTCTTAGGACTCAGTAACACGGACCTTTCGCAGGGCGATCGATCACCGGTGGACCTCTTCTTCATGGACAACATTCCGGTGACGCCGCCACGCGCCCGTCCCATGAACATGCTGGGGGACATGCTTAAGGGTAATCCCCAGACGGACATCTACATTCACATCATCGAGAACAACCATGTGCTGAATGTGGTGCTGAAGTACATGTCAGGCAGCAAGGAGAAGCTCACGGAGGAGGCCAAGGCCGCGTATCAAACTCTCAAGGGCGACACATCCCATGAGAAGCTGTACAACGCTTGGCTGGCTTTACAAACTTCTGTGGATGTGCTGCTCGATGTGAATATGTCGCGGGAGATGAAGTCTGCCGAGGGTCTGAAGCAAATTATCGAAAAGAAGGACGGTCTAATCCGCAAGCACATGATGGGCAAGCGTGTGAACTACGCAGCTCGTACTGTCATCACCCCGGATCCCAATATAAACGTGGATGAGATCGGTATTCCCGATATATTTGCGAGGAAATTATCCTATCCCGTGCCCGTGACCGAATGGAATGTCACGGAGCTGCGCAAGATGGTCACGAATGGTCCGGATATTCATCCCGGAGCGAACTACATCCAGGATAAGAACGGATTTACCACCTATATACCAGCCGACAATGCGGCCAAGCGGAAGAGCATGGCCAAGATGCTACTGTCCAATCCGAAGGATGGCGTGACGATCGTTCATCGGCACGTGCAAAATGGGGACGTCCTGCTGCTGAACCGACAGCCCTCGCTGCACAAGCCATCCATCATGGCCCACAAGGCGCGCATTCTGCACGGCGAGAAGACCTTCCGGCTGCACTACTCCAACTGCAAGGCCTACAACGCCGATTTCGATGGCGACGAGATGAACGCCCACTATCCGCAGAGCGAGGTGGCCCGGGCGGAGGCCTACAACCTGGTGAATGTGGCCAGCAACTATCTGGTGCCTAAGGACGGCACGCCGTTGGGTGGCCTCATTCAGGATCACGTCATTTCGGGCGTGAAGCTCTCGATTCGTGGGCGATTCTTCAATCGCGAGGACTACCAACAACTGGTTTATCAGGGACTGTCGCAGAATAAGAAGGATGTCAAGCTGCTGCCACCGGCCATCTTGAAACCAGTGAGGCTTTGGTCCGGCAAGCAAGTCTTGTCCACCATTATAATAAACTTGATTCCCGAGGGATACGAGAAAATTAATCTTGATTCGTTTGCTAAGATTGGTGGAAAGGTATGTGCACTTTGGATTATGTTTTATATACTTTATTAATGATTTTCCTATTGCTTTGCAGAATTGGAATGTTACCCGTGCACGCCCCGCAATTTGTGGCACGAATCCTGAGGAGAACGAGCTCAGCGAAAGCCAAGTGCAAATCCGGAAGGGAGAACTGCTGGTTGGAGTTCTGGACAAGCAGCAATATGGAGCCACCACCTTTGGTTTGATCCACTGCATGTATGAGCTGTATGGCGGCGATGTGTCGACACGTCTGCTCACCTCCTTCACCAAGGTATTCACCTTCTTTCTGCAACTGGAGGGCTTTACCTTGGGTGTCAAGGATATCCTGGTGACGGGCGAAGCGGATAGGAAGAGGAGGCATATCATCCGCGAGTGTCGCGATGTGGGAAACAGTGCAGTGTCTGCTGCTCTGGATTTAGAAGACGAACCGCCGCACGATGAGTTGGTGGAGAAGATGGAAGAGGCCTATGTGAAGGACTCAAAGTTTAGAGTGATCCTGGATCGCAAATACAAGTCACTGTTGGATGGCTACACCAATGACATAAATAAGTGAGTCGAGATTATAAAAAAAGGAAAGCTTTTTACTTTAATTTAACTATTTCTTAGAACTTGTCTCCCTGGAGGACTCATCACCAAGTTCCCTTCGAACAATCTGCAACTGATGGTGCTATCCGGCGCCAAGGGATCCATGGTGAACACCATGCAAATCTCCTGCCTGCTGGGACAAATTGAGTTGGAAGGCAAGCGACCGCCGTTGATGATATCCGGCAAGTCGCTGCCCAGTTTCACCTCCTTTGAGACTTCCCCAAAGTCGGGAGGTTTTATCGATGGACGTTTCATGACGGGCATTCAGCCGCAGGACTTTTTCTTCCATTGCATGGCTGGTCGTGAAGTGAGTGGGAAAAGATATTTAAGCATTACAAGTATTAATCCTTTCCTATTTTAGGGTCTCATTGATACTGCTGTAAAGACCTCGCGCTCTGGTTATCTGCAGCGCTGTCTTATCAAACATTTGGAGGGCCTGAGTGTCCATTATGATCTCACTGTTCGCGACAGTGATAATAGTGTGGTGCAGTTCCTTTACGGCGAGGATGGCTTGGACATTCTGAAGTCCAAGTTTTTTAACGACAAGTTCTGTGCCGATTTCCTCACGCAGAATGCCACCGCCATTCTGCGACCCAGTCAACTGAGCCTCATGAAGGACGAGGAGGAACTGGCCAAGGTGCAGCGCCATGAGAAGCACATACGCAGCTGGCAGAAAAAGAAACCGGCCAAGCTGCGCGCCGCCTTCACTCACTTCTCCGAGGAGCTGCGCGATGAGGTGGAGGTGAAGCGACCCAATGAGATTAACGCCAAGACGGGTCGCCGCCGCTTCGACGAGGGTCTGCTGAAGCTGTGGAAGAAGGCGGATGCCGAGGACAAGGCTCTGTACCGCAAAAAGTACGCCCGCTGTCCGGATCCCTCGGTGGCTGTCTACAAACAGGATCTTTACTACGGCAGCGTATCGGAGAGGACGCGAAAACTCATCGATGACTATGCAAAGAGGAAGCCGGCCCATAAGGAGACCATAGCCGACATCATGCGGGTCAAGACCATCAAGGCATTGGCTTCGCCTGGCGAACCTGTGGGTCTGATAGCCGCCCAGTCGATCGGTGAACCCTCCACTCAGATGACACTGAATACTTTCCATTTTGCGGGTCGTGGTGAGATGAACGTGACTCTGGGTATTCCTCGACTGCGCGAGATTCTCATGCTGGCCTCGTCGAACATCAAGACGCCCTCCATGGATATTCCAATTAAGCCTGGTCAGCAGCACCAGGCGGAAAAGCTGCGCATTAATCTTAATTCGGTGACTCTGGCAAACCTTTTGGAGTGTGAGTTTATAAATACTAAATATTGTGCTTCCTATAACCATTAATAATTAATATATTTAATTATTTAGCTGTCCACATCAGCACTAGTTTGACCCTGGAACCAGAGAGAGCCTACGAGTATGAGATGCGCTTCCAATTCCTGCCCAGGGAGGTCTACAAGGAGGATTATGGCGTGCGACCCAAGCACATCATCAAGTACATGCACCAAACTTTCATCAAGCAGCTGATACGAGCTATTTTAAAGGTGTCCAATGCCTTGAAGACGACGAAAATGTAAGAATAGAAACCTCCTGACATGTAATTACACTATTAATTTCTTTAATTTTCCAGCGTTGTAATAGACGACAAAAAGGATGCTGATAAGGATGACGATCACGATTTGGACAATGCTGATGATGTGGCTGGTCCAAAACCAAAGGCTAATAATAATGATGATGATTCGTCGGATGATAACGTGGGTTGATTTGTAACCAATTTGGAAATTGTTTTATTGGAATTTCATATTGTTATCTATAGGCTGATGATGACGACGCGACTGGTGTGAAACTGAAGCAACGCAAACTCGATGAGAATGACTACGACGATCCAGATGATGTTGAGGAACTGCATGATGCCAATGGTAAATATATATTTTTATATATCTTGCAAGTTCCTAATAAATTCCTTTAATGATCAGATGACGATGAAGAGGCGGAAGACCAGGACGATGAGGAGAAGGGCAAGGATGCTGATGACAACAATGTGGACGATAAATCCGTCGAGAGATTGCTCAGCAACGACATGGTCAAGGGCTACACGTACGACAAGGAGAACCATCTGTGGTGCCAGGTCAAGCTAAACCTGAGTGTGCGCTACCAGAAGCCCGATCTTACCTCCATCATCCGGGAGTTGGCCGGCAAGAGTGTGGTTCACCAGGTGCAGCACATTAAGCGGGCCATCATCTACAAAGGCACCGGCGATGAGCAGCTGCTGAAGACCGATGGCATCAACATTGGCGAGATGTTCCAGCACAACAAGATTCTCGACCTGAATCGCCTGTACTCCAACGATATCCATAAAATCGCCAGGACCTACGGCATTGAGGCCGCTTCCCAGGTGATTGTCAAGGAAGTGAGCAATGTGTTCAAGGTCTACGGGATTACGGTGGACCGGCGGCACCTGTCACTCATCGCCGACTACATGACCTTCGATGGAACCTTCCAGCCGCTGTCGCGCAAGGGCATGGAGCACTCGTCGTCGCCGCTGCAGCAGATGTCCTTCGAGTCCAGCCTGCAGTTCCTGAGGAGCGCCGCCGGTTTTGGTCGGGCGGACGAGCTGAGCTCCCCGTCGAGTCGTCTAATGGTGGGCCTCCCAGTGCGAAATGGTACCGGTGCCTTTGAGTTGTTGACCAAAATCTGTTGATTAAGTTTTTTTATGTAAATAGGAAACGAAAAGTTTTTAAATAAACATAATACCTTATTTGTAGACCTCTGACTTTGCATATTTGCATATTTTTATAGGATAAAGATAGATCAATTCCGAAAACACCAAAGTTCGTTTCAATGAAAATATAGTTTTAAATTATATGCAAAATATATAAAATAAACTCAAGTATTCAAGATTGACCATTTCATAGCCAAACTAATTTACCCGAAGAAAATTGTTAGTTCCTTTTCGGTATTTCTGAGATATTTAATTTTTAAAAATTTTTTTCCCAAATTTAAAGAAGTAGGCGAGAAGGGACAAAATTATTAAAAGCGGCAAAATAGTTTTTGGCCCTATCGGCCAAACTGCTCGTTTAAATTGCTCGCCGTGTTAACTGAAGGTTCCTTAGAATGCCAGAGGGCTGGATTAAAAATTTGAGCATATATTTTGCATATATTTTGCTTATTATTTATTTTATAATTTATTTTTATAATTATAATTTTATTTTTATTATTTATTTTATTTTTATTTATTTTATTTCCGATGCATTCGAATTTATTACATTTGAAAAATATGACACCTACCTAAAAATTTTGGTAAAAATCGGACCAAAAATGGACAAAAATGCGAAATCCGAGGTCTATCTATGTGTAAAAGGTTCGTTTATTGAATTACGGACAGGTGTAAACATTTAATGTAAAAATAAGAAAACTACAATTAACATTTTTTGGTTTCGCTTTCAGAACTTATCACAAGTCAACTGGTATTGCCAGTTCCTAACAGCCACACTCGGCTCGAATTGGCCGGCGACAGGGTCCAGGAGTTCCTCAACAGTTCCAAGTGCAGCTCCAGTTGCTGCTCTGGCTGCTCCTGCTTTATTTCTTGGTGGGAATCCTGCTCCTGCTCCTGCTCCAGTTCCTGCTCCTCCAAGAGGGTGGGCAATCTTGAAGTCGTACGGCTGCAATTGGCGGGGACGTCTTGCCCGCTGATTATTGGGAATCCCCTCAAGATTAGCTCCTCCACCTGCAGATCCCTCTGCTCCTCCTCCTCCACTTCCATTCTGTTCCCGTTTCGATGCACGACCACCTTTGCGCCAGGACTCGACATTGGCAATGCCCGAGGTCGAGGGCACCTCGTCCTTCCTGCCCCGATCCCCAAAGATGGTCGTCCACCGAAACCACTTATGTCATAAGCTGTAGCAGTCCGAAGCGGAGGATGCACTGCGTCTTCTCATGGCATTCGGATCCCTTTTGAGCAGATAAACGCAGAGGCAAAGGCAGGCGAGGAGCAGACAGACGAGTCCCAGCATGGCATAGAATCCCTGACGATACCGGGCTGCATCGGCACTCGCCTCCAGGAGTCGCACTCGCTGACCCAGAGCCCCGCCTCCCCGGAGATCCTCCTCCCGCTCCAGTGGGAGCAGCACCTGCCAGAATCCGTGGACACGCTGCAGGTGATTGGAGTAACCCGAGTCCTGTTGGTTGCTCGCCGTGTAGGAATTGGCAGCTGTTGCTCGGTAGGTATCGTGTCGATTGCTCCGCGATAAGCTCCTGTCCACGCCTGGAACTCCTGCCTCCCCTCGGAGCAGCTTGTCCACCTCCGCCTCGTCCACTGATCCTGCCTGCGCCGTCTTCGCCTGCTCTCCCAGGCTGTAGACAAAGGGGTTCTCCCGGTTGTAGGGCAACCAGCCATCGTAGATCCTTCCCGGCGTGGGATTGCCATTCTTGATGAAATTAGCAAAGGCTCCCCTTATCTTCCGGCACAGCTGCTCCTCCTCGCCGCTGAATCTCCGCCGGGCTATCTGCTGAAAGAGACTGGGACCCAGGAGCAGCGGAAGATCGGAGCTGTGGGAGGCGCCCCCGAAGAGATTCCTCCTGCCCCTCAAGTCCATCGAGTGGGATTGGTCGAATACGTAGGCGTAGCTGGTGGTGGAATTTAGTAAATCTAGCAGGCGGAAGAAGGGCAGTTCGTGGAGGGATTCGGAGAGCAGGCGTTGCATCCCAGCCAGCAAATGGATGACTCCCTCTCCCTTGCCATTGAAGTACCTCCAGCGAATGGCTGCGAGTTGGGAGGAGGTCTCCTCGCCCACCGACTCCAGGGATCGCATTACTCCGGGCAACAATGTGTGATTGATGTACTTCTGCAGCGCCACCTGACCCTCGCGGGCCACATCCAACCAGTAGTCCTGCAGGAAGGCTCCCTCATTCGAGGTGATGCCCAGCAGCAGTGGAGGCAACGTTTCATTTCGCAGCCGTTCCTCAAAAGTCAATCCTTCGGGCAGGATCACTCCCAGCTGAGAAGTGCCATTGCCATGATTATAGACACTCTCGTAGGCGCGGAGCAAATCCTCGCGGCTCTTTCGCCGGAGGCAACCCATCAGCTGGCGTCGCTGGGCCTCCTCGAACTGGCAGCCCAGTTTCTGGACGAGCACCTGACCAGTTTCCACTATCCTGCGTTGGTGATTCCGACCCAGGCTTCGCATTATAGGACCCGGTGACATAAGCACCAGTTTCTTGACCAGGCCGGGATCCTCCAAAGTCGCCACCAGCGCGAGAGGAGCTCCTCCACTGCCATGACCCAAGAGAGTAATCTGATCTGGATTGCCGCCAAAGGCATCGGCATTCCTTTGAATCCAGCGCAAGGCCATCCGGACATCGGTTAGTCCATAGTTTCCCGGGATATGTCGGTGCTGTTCGCCCAGACTCAGCCATCCGTAGATATTATTCCGGTACTGGACACTGACCACCACAATTCCCTCGCCAGCCAGATCCAAGCCATTGATGCGGTTTCTGGGCCAATCGTAGGCGAACTCCTCACCCGTGACGATCACCACGATGGGCAGTTTGCCGTATCGCATCCCCGACTCCGGCGTCCAGATGTTCAGGTACAGGCAGTCCTCGTCGGTGGTCACCGATCTGGGAATGCTACCATCCGAACTCTCGTCGTAAATGGTGTTAGAAAGCTGTGGGCAGAGCGGCTGCATGGCGGTGGCCTGCAGGGTGCGATTGAAACCGGAACTCGGCTTGGCGGGCTGGAGGAGAAAAATGTTATATCATCTATTATAATTTTCAAATCGATGGTCATTCTAGATTGAGCAATTAAATTCGAATTATTTTAAACTCAATGAATCATATAACCTTCAGGGTCATTGAGTTTATAGGTAAAGAATAATATGTTTTAATATGAAGGTCTCAGTTTAAAGGTCCTGTTATAAGGCCCCGTAGCTATAGCTAAACTTAAGTTCGCCTGTAAATTTTACATTATAGTCGAACACTTAATAATAATAATAATAATAATAATAATAAAGGTCCTGTTAAAATTTAATTTAAATCTTTAGTTTAAATCTATCTAAAACTATCCTTAAAATTTTAAGAATACATTTTTTTTACATTGTTTATATTATTACCAAAAATTTCTTACTATAGTGTAGGTTGACATGTGACCTTTCAGCTCCAAAAAAATCTTTTTTAGAAAAAAAAACTTTTTTTATCTTTATAAATGAAATGAAACATTTTTGGAAATTAAAACCAATAAATGTTTTTCATGATTGACTAGTTCCAATTCCTCATTTCTAAGATTTAGGGCCGCTTTCTTATCCGTTTGTTAAATTTAAAGTAAGGTTAAAACCTTAATGGCAAATTAGAGTTTTAACCCTACTTTAAATTTAACAGGCGGACGATAAAACGGCTCTTAACCTGTATAATTCCCTCAGAATCTAAATGAAACCGAATACCAACCAGTTTGTTTTCGGTCTTTCATAATACACCTTTGAGGTCCCTCACTAATAAGGTTTCCAACCCTCCTATAAATCTCGTAAAATTTTCAAATATTTTAGAACAATTTACTTACTGAAAATCGGAGTTCGTTGATCGGAGCCTGGGCATAGGGAATGCCCAAAAAGGCGTATACAGCGCCACGTGTTCCATCCGGAAAGACCTTGAGCTGCAAGCAAAGCAACGATTTCAGTTCCTTAAGAATTCTAAGACCCTAATATCACGGCCTCACCCCAATAAGATCACCCTGCTCCAATTTAATGTGCGTCTGTTGGCCAGAACAAAATTGCGACAGGTGAAGCAGAATCGTTAGTGGCCAGAAAAACTGTTGAATCCTTAATGCATTCCACATGACTGCCAGTTGCAACATACACTTTTTAGCTCTCACTTTTAGCACATAACTTTTGCATAGTTCATGGCGCATTTAAGCGCATTTATTAATTATTGCGAGCCTTTTTTGCACACTTTTTCCCGAATTCGAAATGTGTGTGAATATTTCACCGAAATTGTATTTTTTCACGTTGCAACTTTTGGTTCGTTCGACGTTGGAATGGAAACTGAGCCACAAAAAAAAAAAGCATACACACCACGAATAAAGTTAGCTGCCCTGTGGGTCGGTGAGCTAACAAAAATTTCTGCTAGAATTATTTCAATTGTTTTCTGGTGTCATTACGGTCGTTGTTGCTTTTGTTGCTGCGGTGCGCAGCGAATCATTCATGCATCCATAGATCAAAACACCAGCGACACCACCAACATATTATACCATCCAACGGCAACAATGAATTGGGGAGGTTCTCTACAGAGCCATGGTAACGGGCCTCAACTATATGTGGATCTGGACCCTAAAGCCCAAGAGTCAGCCCTCTCGAAAGCCAACAATTGAGTCCCATCGAGGGCGGACTGTGTGATCACTCCAAATTCTAGAGTTATTTATTTTAAAAATATATTTTACCATTTAATTATTTTCCAAATAAATGGAAACAAGCCGCGTTTATTGATTCAAAAAAGAGATCACGCTAATTACTCATTAAAAATTATAACAATTTAAATTCTAGTCGATGAGAACTATGTTGTGTCTCGTCATTTCGTGGAATCAGACTGAACTCAACTTTCATGTGTAAGTTTAATTAAATAGTCTCGAGACAATCTATATTATACACGGAAATTGGACAGCATTCTAGTATATTCTTTAGCAAGTCTTCTTCGAATGGGATGATCCGAGAATATTTTGAGATTGACTTGTAATAAATGGGTGTAGAAAAATATAAAAAATATATAAAAAATCCAAAAAAAGAAATGAAGTATTTTAATAGCTAAAAAATATTTAAGTTTTTGAACCCAATACTTCTGGTTCCTCCCTCGTTCTTGTTTTTCATCAAATTCCGCACTGCTGTTAATGTCAAACATAAATTTTTCTCTGCTTCACAACTCTCTCTCCCTTTCCCTTTCCCGCCCTCGTGCCATCTCACTCCCTCGCTGGCAAATGAAGTTGTCGCTGGGCTTTTGGGGTCTGCAACAGATAATGTACCATAATGCTGCCGTAATTTCCCCACTTGCCCAATATGGTGTTGCTGGTGGTATAGATCCGATGCCGAAAACGAAAACGAATCCGAGTCCGATGTTGTTAGTTTGCCAGAAAGTCGGTGACTCTGTTCGCCGGGGCGGAGTTCCGGTCTGCGGAGTTCGTTGGGCGATGATCGCTGGATGCCGACTGCCGGAATGTCCGCAATTAACGTGGATGTGAGTGTGGTTTAAGAGATGCGACTGTTCCAGCATCATGTCCCCACATTTATGTATTTTAATAAGTTTAAAACGTAATTTGTTTGTTGAACTGCGCGAGCACCGAGCTCAAAATCGCCTTCGCCGGCCGCCAATTTGATAGAAGCACTGGCCAAAACTTAAGAATATATTAAATATAAGTATAGATTGTAATAAAATTCATAATTCTAACTTATAAATATCTAATAAATTTATCTAATATTAAAAATAGAAAGCTTCGGTCATGTACCAGACTGAATAAATGGTTTTTATGTTAAATAGTGTTAGGAGAACCTACATGCATTATTTAATTTTTGGATAATTCTTATGTTTTTAGTTTTCGTATTGAAAATATTATTTATGAGAACATTAATATCGCGAATTTGTTCTAAATGTTCTTTTGTTTGATTTCTGGTTATGGTGTTGGTCTGTGTCTTTGCTGAAGCGACGCACATAATTTTCAGTTAATTATGAAACACAAAGTGCACATTTAAATGGTCGCTCCGCTGGCCAGGCCACCCTTTCAGCCAATCTCCCCCTCCCCGATCCACCGTATCTCTTTCGGCCTGGCCAATGGCCAGTTAATCAATTTATGCCTGCGAACGTTGGCGGTTCGCCGCTTGGTTTTGTGCGGGTCGCCGTTCAATTATAATAAATGGCAATGACGGCCTAGTTTGGTCAATATGCACATGTGAGTGTGTGTGTGTGGGCCGGTTGGCAGTAAACAAATTAGCCTGGCCGAGTGCTGTGAAAATCCCGCCAAAGGTTGATGGCAGGTGAAATTTTGTTAATTATTGGTCTATAAGTGAATAATGCCAGGGAAAGCCAAAATTATTTAGAAAAGTTTGGAAATGTATTTGAGGGAGGACTCTGTTTTCATAGAATTTATGCGCTTTAAACCTAAGATATAGCAGTTCTACTAATGATTTAAACATCAAAACTGAAAATGATTAACCCGCCTCAGAAAAATTCTTAGCTCAAGTAAATGTGATTTAAATTGTCATGATAATATTCCGACCATGGCTATAAATCAATTTAGATTAGCACATTATTCTTGGGGGCCAATAAATTCCAACTTCCTTTTTACCTTCCGGAATTCACTTGGATTTCGCACCTGGTTCTTTCCCCATTTTCCGGTTTTTCAAGCCCTCTTTTCTCCACTGTCGGCCCAAACTGTTGGCTGACCAAAGGCTACAGATTGTTCTGACGTTTAAATGTTGATAATACTTTCGGCCTCCGTCCAATAAATTCGTCAGAAAAACGTTTGACACAAAACTTGCTGTCAACACTTGTAAGCGAGGACCTTAAATGGAAATACAAATTGTACTGAAATTTATACAAATATTTGTGGAGTGCATATTGGGAAATTTTGGCAGCTGCACTCGAAATCAGAACAATAGCAACAACAAGGACACTTCAGGCAGAAACCCTCAAGTCGCCGAAAGTTTAGCCTTTGTTGCATTCTCGTAATGAAAATATTTATGATTTTTGGAGCCGAGTTGATTGTTTACATATTGCCAAAGCATATTGAAAACTTCTTTATTAAATTTTACTTCAATAAAAGCCAATTGTTTCTTGTTGGCATCACTGGGATTTTGTTTCCTTTATTTTGTTTTTTTGAGTATGCTTTCTATATATTTGTATATATACAGAAAATGCCTGGGAAAGTTTTTAGTTTTCTGGCAGAGCGAGCTGCGTGTATTTTCCCCCCATTTCCCCTCTGAATTTTGCCAGATGAAAAATCTGAGGGATGTGGGCTGCTGCCTGATTGCTATGGCTTCTGTTTCAGCTCCTGCTGATACGATGCCAGAGGTTGACTGCTGCTTCACCGATTCAAATTCTGTTTCATATTTTCATATTTTTGCTAAACAATGGCATCAGATGTCGTCGTCGTTGCTTTTGGCATATCTCCGCAAATATTTGTTGCACGTTCGTATACAAAATCGTTTAGTTAACGAGTCGTAAACACTTGTGATAGAATTTTACCAGACTTTTGTGCGATGAATTTATGCATAAATTCGTTTCATGGCTAAATCCCATTAGGTGAGGCCGAAGCTTCGACAGTTACTCTTTGACATAAATTAAATAAATTTGTGCACCTTTCAGTGCTGGTATACGATTTTATTGGCAAGGCTATTACTGCAAGCCTGGAAAATACAATTAAACAAAAGTTTGAATAAACTTTGTTTTGTTTTGTGATGCAAAAAAATATTTTTATTAGGGGATTTTTTTATACATCGATTTACTAAAAAGTTTAATATTAATTTAAAGTTACGGAAACCAAAAATTCCAAATATTTTGCATGAGATTTTAAATGAACAGAAAGGAGGGAGATGTTGTTGTTCAATAAACCCCATGAATAAACAGGGAAAATATTTGAAATGCACTGGAATTCTGCGGAATAGTTATAGTAAGAACACTCAACTTGGCCGCGGAAATTACGTAATTAGCAAAAACTACAAAAGCCAAAGGGTGGAGCGGGCAATTTGCGTAAAGTATTTAGGAAAACAATGCATAGAAGTTGCCTGTGTTGGCAGTTGCTTTAAGCCTAATTTAACGGTTCCGCAGACAAACAACGCAAATTGCAAACAGCGGCAGCCATTTTGTTTATGCCCCTAACCGCACACACAAGTTGGCAGTACTTAACGGGTGGAAAGGGGAGGGGAAGGGGGTGCAACATGGCCCACTTTCTAATTAATGCAAAATATTGCAGCTGCAAAAAAGAAACTAGCATACATATGTGTTGCCTACTTTTAGGTTGTCCCACCTAAGCTTGCTAGCTGCTTTTTTGAGGGCATTTTTAGTGGGGTTGGGTAGTTGCGGGGGCGTGGCACTCTGGCGGTTTCTTTGTTGCTTGCATAAAGCATCACTCACACACGCGCAAAGGGTGTTGTAGTTGCAGCAACTGCGACATCAGCAACATGCAACAACAACCTTGGCAATGTCAACAGCAGGCATCCTGGCGGAAGCGAGTGACCGCCGCCAGGGGTCGCCAGTGTGTTGCTAAATTAAATCCTGCAAAAAAATGGAACCTCCATACGGTGTAAAAACAGCTGGGAAATGGCCCAAAAAGCACGTCTGAACTTTAAAAAATCTAAGAACTTTAAACCAGGGACCGTAAATAATCATTATTTGAGATTTTTATTTTAAAAAGACTACTGTGATTTTTTGTTTTAAACGTCAAAGATAACGTTCTTTTTACTATTGTCCACAAAGTATATGTATGTCAACAAATCTGAAGCGCAAGTTAACTGTTATTTGTTCATGTCTATAAAGTGCATAAAAACCAGTTAAATTTTTGACTAAAACTTGTACAAATCTTAGTAGGCCTTTTAAAATAAAAATCTCAAATAATGATTATTTACGGTCCCTGCTTTAAACTTTTTAACGAGAAATTATGTTGTAGTCACTTAATATCTATTTTTTATTTAATCCAGATTTTTATGGCCCATTATTACTTGTTTAATAATAGAATCGCACACTCTCCTGGTGCGCTTCGTCACTACATGGACTGCCGTCCATAGTGATATTGGTTTCATTACCCATATTTCCATATTTTTCCCCAATAAAAACAAAGATTATTAAAATATAAATTTTCTTAGCTTTAAACTTTTAAAATACTGATTTTTTGTTATACTATATGTGTGTATATAGACTTAATTCTTGGTGGACTTTCGTTTTTAGAATTTATAGCTCCTGTTCTTTATTACTAACTTTTTCCCAGTTGTAGAAGTGCTGTCACATATCAAAATTCCATAAGTAGTATCCCAACAGAAAAACATATCAGTTAAATTACTACTAAAAGCGTTCCATAATCGACTTAATTATAGAGGACCCAACTATATCGATGGCAGTCCATAATTGCCATTTGGTAAGTGCTTCGTCACCACGCTGCAGAAAGGCATGCAAACCGCAGAATTTCATCGCAGACGTGCGGAGGCAGTGCACTTTATTAATTTTCCAGAGCGAAGTAGACTTCAGAGGGGTGTGTATATACGTGAATTAAGTTTTTCCTTTTAGTTTGGCAAACCAGAAACATGGCGACGCATTTGACGGCAACGAAATTTTCAGCTCGCTGAAAAGTTTGCCGCTAATTCCTTGCGCAAACTTTAACACAAATGTGTTTGGACTGGGGCTTCCACTTACACCTTGTTTAATTGAAAATGCATTAGCAGCTTAATTTAGAAGAGAGATACGAAAACGGTTCGAGTTTCAGTTTAATTTTTATTCAAAAATCACATTTGTTGTTTTTTATATATATATATATATATAGATACATATATATAATATTATATTTCTGCTGCGATGTTTTGCCAATAAATTATGGTTTAGGCTTACTAGGTTTTCGCTTTAATGGGTTTATTTATGTAATTTACATTTATTCATGTGTGTGTTGGTATGTGGTGTAGGTGTGGGTGTGGCTGTGGGTGTATGTGTTTGCCTTAAGCTTTAACAATCATTACTAGGCAATAGTTTTAAGCACATTCACTATATATATTGGTTTAAATTTACTTGCAGTTCAACACGGATTTATTTTGGATTCTGTACAACTTTAAAGTATTATTTACCATGGACAAACAAGTGAGGGAGGGAGACAGTATAAACAAATATTTTCATGAATGGTTTGCATTTACATTTACATTACTTTTTCAGCAACATGCCAATCATCTCATATTTGCCAATGAAAATGTACTGAAATAAATAAATGAAATATTATTTTATTTGACAAGTGACATTCGTTAGTTTGAAGTGATTTCAATTGAGTTAATGGACTTTTCGCAGTGATTTGAGGGGCCAGTTCAAAATTCCAGAGTATCAATCTTAAGCTCAGATATGTTTTGAAGCATAGCCAACACACTGATATTAATAGGTTGAGCTCCACAAAATGATATTTGGTTAGATATAGTTTGGTTTAATATGTAGGTAGAGTAGAAATAATAGCTGGTAGTACTTTGTATCTTTGCATTTTTCAAACACATTTTCTTCACACTTTATTGTCTTTTTGTCAAGCCCTTCTATGCAAATTATTTTTGGGGTTGCAAGTTTTGATATTGGCATAGGAAGTTTTGCTGAATAATTGAAATAAAAGAAATATTTTTTAATATTTATTTTTTTTAATTTCTGAGACAGCCTTGACTCAACATAACCGAATTCACCCCTTCATAATTTCATTAACGTACACCCTCTTGGGTCCTCCCATTTTTTTAGCCCTCCATTTATGCCATGCGTAAATCTGCATATGATTTTATTTCATTTTACTGAATAACCCATCGGAATATTAAGTGAATGAAGTTTTCTCTGTGGAATTTTTTGCACATGGCTTGTCCAGTTAAATGTGGCAAAATAATTGATTATGCACAATTATCCCTATAACGCAAATGGAATAAATGAAAAAATGCGGGGAAGGTGAGGACATATAGGGGTTAAAAGTCTATATGTATTAATGAGAGCACATGCAATTTTCAATTGTATCACAACATCCATATTCGTATTTCAATATTATTCTCATTTCATTAAGATTGGTTGGGTTTTTCAGGTTTTCGTTTTTGTTTTACTTCTGCGCTTCGTGTTAATGTTAATGCAATAAATTTGATTACCGTTTCGCAGGCTGCTATAATTATTTTATTGTTATTAATTAATGGCTTTTGCAATCGTTTTGTTTGTGTTTGGCCTTTTCTCATCCGTTTTTGTTTTCCTTTTCGATTTTGTGTGGGCGGGGGGCGGGTTCAAGGAGCCTTTTCAATATTTTTGGTCAAGTTGTTTTGTATTGTTATGTTGGTTTTGTTTGCTTTTGTCTTGGTTACGATTTTCCACTATGTTTACCTTCATTTTAAATCTGTATAAAAAGTGCAATTGTCTGTTTTTTGTGTTTTCGTTTACCTTGTTTTTGTTCGTGTCAAATACAAATTCTCAAATACAATTATATACGAGTTATAATACAAATATCCTTTACACACAGATACAAAAAATAAAACGCACTGTACAAAAATCTGATCTGATTCGGTTTCAACTCTTCAGTTGCCTATATATGTATATGTATACGTATGTCGATGTCGCAGTGTGTGTGAGTGTCCTGCGTGTGAGTATGTGTGTGTGGGTGTTTGTGCTGTGCATATCCTTCGCCTTGGGCCACACACATTCCGAATATGCATATCCATATAACTGGCATTTTTGATTATTATTATTCGTAGTCAACGGCAAAAATGTTTGTTTGAAATGTTTGATTTATGTGCATGCTGATAGGGAACATTTCATTGCATTTGTCGTCCCTGTCCGTCCGTTGCATTCCGTCTCTGTCTCTGCGCAGTCATGTTTTGACATCCGCACAGCATCCACATCCACGTCCATCCGTCGATATCCTTTCATATTCGTATATATTCATATCGCCGATAAGCATATTTGACTGATAAATGCTAAACAATTTCGCCGTTTGGCAGTCAAGAGTTTCGAGAGTTTGGGCAACATCCTAAGTTGGCATCAATCGATTTCCCACTATAGTGTGTTTTTCGGTTCTTGGGAACCATTCAACAGGCAATAATAAAAATAGGAAATAAAAAAAAGGTTCAAAAGTCTAAAAAATTGTTTCATTTAAAGTTACTCAGAGGTTTTTCAGAATTATTTGTATAATTTAAAGTATGATAAACAAAAGATTTTAAATATCTTCTTATATTATAAATGTTTATTAAGAGAAACTAAAATTATAAACCCAAAATTTTGAAAAACAAAGTATGTATTAATGAAAAAATAATAGGATTTTATCAGTAAAAAAATAGCATTTCCTCTGGTTAATCCAAAATGATTTGATATGTTAAAACATAGTTATTGCTTCTAGCTCTTATTGCCCTTCGCACTTCAAAGAAAAGGTAAACCAAAAGTAAAATAATAAAACAAAGGCATCAAATTGATCTGCAATCGTGTATATTTGTTGTAAAAAATAGGTATAGAAATATACTTTAGCTATAGTATATGTATAGAATTTTCTTTTGGTAGCTTAAACATAAAACGTCTCTATTCTTGATATGCGCGTGTGTTAAAAAAGTTGATTGCATATTGATAATTGATTTACGTACTTCAATAAATGGCCACGTTAAGAATTAAAAGCTGAGTTGTCCACGTAAAAAAATTGCACATAACAAATTGGAAATGGAAAGCTACTTAAATCTTAAACTTAGCATTAGTTAATTGCTTCTCCTCTACGGATTTTGTGCACATTTATCGCTGAATGGCCTGAAAAGAGCTCGATTCCACAATGGCCACGGATATTCATTAGATGCAGTCGATTTTTTTTAGCTTTACATACGAATACGGAATTCAAGGAGCCTCAAGTTGGAATTCGAAACTGAAAAGGAGGCGACTTTGCCATGTCCACACACATCTTCATCTTCATCTTCACATTGATAAATCACTAACTATACACGGAGAGTTACAACAAGAGGACATACAAACATTTACACATACAAAACTCAACTCACACAGTACAAAAAATCGGCTACTTATGTCCCTAAACATATATCCATTTACATATATGTAGGCGTATAGAAAATTTGCTAAGCGCAGCTAATTTGAAATTAGCAAAAAAGATGGCAAAATCGTTCGCTTCGCTTGCAGTTAAGTTAACTAGGCTAATTCACATAATCGTATTTAGAGTCTATATATACACATTGCATATATAATTGCAAAGGATGCCGGATGCTCACATCGATGTACACATGCATACATTTACAAACGCCCGTTGGCTCCTAACTAAGTTCCTTCTTTTCGCTACTAATAATAATTAACATAGTTCTTGCATCGCTTGGCCAGCGTCAAAAAACAGCATTTCATCTAAACTTATGTGTGTGTTTCTCTGTGTTCGTATTGGTATTGGTATTGCTGTGGCTGTGGTTGTGTGGTGTATATGTATTCAGTACTCTTAACGCTTGTAGCTATTGCCAGGATGCACATATCGCTAGCTGCCGACCAACTCGATCTGGCGATATTTCTTGCGCAAATTGGAAACTGGATCACGATACAGCATGGGATCCATGCGCAAATTGGAACGTATCAGCGGCATATAGCTGAAAAGATGGGATGGAAAGGAAGTTTTGATTAGAACTTAGTAAAAAAATGTATAAACATTTTTAAAAATTCTACCTGTCATAATACACAAAATTATAAAATCTTTATTAATATAAAATGGTTTTGGGGGTAATGATTTAATTATAGAGATTATAGAGGAAATGGAATCTACTGTCATATTTTATTTGAATTTTATGCTTAAGTATTAAAGCTTCTTACAAATTAGAAGATACATAGGCTTATAAATAAAAACAATGAAAAGTAAAAAAAAAATTCCTGATTTTTCACTTATCTAATGGGTTTAATATATTATTTATTCATTTATATTATTTATTGTCAAAGTCAAGGCAGCTTTAATAAGAAATGGGACCACAGAAACCCTTTAAAAATGTATAAATTGTACAAAATTTTTTTTTTGGTTGGTTTCCCTACTTTTTATACCCTTGTTTATATTAATCCAGTAAGTTAGAAAGATTATCTCGACATATACCAAAGATTTGAACTCACCCAAAGACCGCCGCGAAGGTATTCAAGCAGCTCTGGCGCTGGATAAAGTGATCGGGGTCGTTCCAGGGCGAACGGCCCGTCTCGCGATCCTTGTAGCCCTTGCGCTGCGTCACCTTGATCGGCGGCTTCCTGGTCACGTGCGAGACCAGCAGGTTCATTAGGATGTCCTCGCAGTTGGAGGACTGCTGTACAGTCTTAAGTAGCAGCAACGACAGCCAGTTGGTGTACAAGTAGTTGTAGTAGCGGTGGTAGAAGGCCGCCCCAGTTAGCACAATTGAATAGTAGTTTGTCCACTTGGACGTGTAGCCCCAGGCGTTCTGAAAGGGATCATGGATATAAGTTAGTCTTATGAAATATATTCTCGTATAAGCGTAAGCCACCTTGGAATCATCCCAGAAGTGAGCTCTTGCCGGATAGCCAACGATGCGCTCGGGAAAATCCCGCCACACCGTGTAGGCAAAGTCCAGTTCATCCGTATTGAGTATGGCATCTTCGTCCAGCGACAACACGGCGTCCGTTTGAATCTCTTCGTAGGGCAGGAATCGTTGTGATATGCTCGGTCGTCCCTCAGTCGTCTGGCTTGTGGGTCCAGCTCCCTGACTCCTGGTGCTGCCCCCCAAGGAGATCACATGCAGGGGTATGTGGTTGGTGGGGGGCCAGCGTTTCTTCAGCGGCAGCGGTCGATCGGCAGCCCAAAGGACAAGGATCTGAAGGTTGAGAAAGGGTAAGTATCTATATAAAAGAGTTTATGGTAAGACTTACCCTCTCCACAAACTGGCTCTTCGTTATGGTCCTGACCAGCTTGTATAAAGCTGCATTCGGTCCCAAAGCGGCGCCAATCTGCACGTAGATAACCGCCGTGTAGTTGTGACGCGGCTCCGCGCCCATCGAGTTCAGCAGAAACGGCATGTACCTGTAATCGATTGAGCTACAAGGTTGAACAACAAGATATATAGTCGAGGACCAACCTTGAACTGTCGGCGAAGGTGGGCAACGTGAGCAGGGCTCCCGGTGAGCTGTTCCACACCAGACTGCTCCGCACCGGATAATCCGGCAGGCGTTCGCGAAAGATCTGCAAAGATACGGGGGGGTTAACGCTTGTTTAATGGTTTGTCGATACGCTCAAGTGCTGATTGCCAATTGATTGCCTTATGAGGAGGAGCAGAAGGAGCAGGAGGAGCAGGAGGAGCAGGATTTTCGAGTGCATTTCAAGGAGCGGACCAAATTGCGTTTTGAATAGTCGTCCTCCCATTGGTCGTCTGTCGCCCACTTTTCCCCCTTCTGAGTGTGATTACTCAATGGGCCCGAGTTGTTGCCTAATTTTCCGCTTGGCGCAGCTGGTGCCCGCGCTACCCAAACCACTTTTCCCCCTTTTCAGATATACAACGGCGGTCGCGAAAACAGCACTAAAAGTGAAGTCCTTGAAATGCAAGCATCTGCTAAGCTTCAAGAGTTATTGGCTTTAATGGCCGTAGCCTTATGGTCTATAAGTTATAGATCAATTTATATAAATTAACACAGAAAAAAATTGCATACGCAATCATTTGATGATTTTCAAGAATTATTTCCTTTAACTGTAGCCTTATGGTATTTAAGTTAAAGAACAATTTAAAGTTCATAAAGGAAATCAAAATTCATATGATACGGGGGTAAAATTAATTAATAACAAGAGAGAACGTTATAGTCGGGTGCCCCGACTATCAGATACCCGTTACTCAGGTAAAGGAAGTGCGAGGGAGATGGAGATATAGATTGAAAACTTTGATCACGCATAACTTTTTAACGAATGGTCCGATTTGAAAAACACAAAACACAATAAAACTGCGTTTTTACTTTTCCAAAATATTAAAGTTTTTAAAATCCTATATAAGCGATTGTGGGCGTTAGAGGGGGCGTGGCACCATTTTGAAACAAACTTGCGCTGCGTAGGAACTCCTAAAATCTGCATGCAAAATGCCAATCTTCTAGCTTTTATAGTTTCCGAGATCTCAGCGTTCATACAGACAGACAGACGGACAGACGGACAGACGGACATGGCTAGATCGACTCGGCTAGTGATCCTGATCAAGAATATATATACTTTATGGGGTCGGAAACGCTTCCTTCTCCCTGTTACATACTTTTGCACGAATACAATATACCCTTTTACTCTACGAGTAACGGGTATAAAAATGTAAAATTAATCTAATATTTTAATGTAAAATTTTTAAATCAAACATATCAACTAAATTTTATCATATCATATCAGTTATTTCATAAAAATTATACCTCTATATATTTTACTTTTAAATATTTTTAAAATGTTCATATGATATAATATATAAAGAATTTAGTCTTTTATCATATCAAAATAATATAAAAATCGTGATCTTTAAAATATATTAAATTTTTCTAAATTTATACAGAAATGTTTTCTGTGTATTTTACTTAAATTTGGGAATACAGTTTATATTTCAAGCATAAATTATTAAACTGTTATTAATGCCGTTAATGCCTAACCATAATCTATTAATCCGAGCTGAGCTGTGGATATATATTCATGCATGTATGAATGTCGAGGGGCGTTACCGCAGTTTCCGCTGCGCAGCGGAAGTCGCACGGCAACCTCTATGGCCGGAAATGCCTCTCTCTCTCTCTTTCTCGCCCCCTAAGTGTTGGACAAAGAGGGAGAGAGAGAGATAGAAGGAGGCGGCAAAGCTAGCGTGCCATTAATGCGGCGTTAATTTGTCGCTCAAAGTGTGAGCGCGCCTTAAAGTATGCCAAGCCAAATTAGTTAGACATCCCAGCCGCAGTTAACTCGCCAAGTCCTCCTGCACTTTCCATTTGGCACTGTTTTGGCTCCTAGTTTGCATTTGAGTTCGGGTTGAATGCAATTATAATTGCAAAGCCTGACCCCAACTAAGAGCTTAGTGGAGGGGGCGGTGGCGGTGGCAAGTGGGTTGTGTTTGAGTTGAGTTATGCAAGTGCAGGTGCAGCCAGCCACGTGCACCTGACAGAAAACAGAAGACGGAGCGTTATGCAAGTGCCAAACCCCCTCTTACCACCTGGCAATGGGTGGTGCCACCATTTACCACCCTCTCCAGTTCATTCGTGTTAATTCTGTCTGGCACGCTCCGCTTTTGTGCGTGTGGTTAGTGGAATTTCAATGCTGGGACGATCATCTCCCGGCGGAACCCCACTGCTATTCAGGCTAAAAGACATAATGAGACGTTTGGGGAGTGGTTCCTACAATTAGAAGCAATTACGCTTGATAGATCGACAGTCGGTAATCCTTTGAGTGCTCAGCTGGCTAACCCCAGGACTTCAAAAGCTAAACTAATATATTCGTTAATTTAAATGATAAAATGATAATTTTATGAGCACAAAGTTTTTAATACAGGAAACTCTTAAAAAAATTGCGATTATTATTATAATTAATAAATTTAAATGTATGTTTTAAAATTTTATAAAATCTTTTTTTCTTTAAGAGCTATAGTCTTAGATTTCTGATTTTATAAAACCTTTTCTAAAGTACTTAAACTTTCAAAAACAATTTTAAAATTTTGTTTGATTTTAAAATAATAATTTTTTGTTGTTGAAAAAGAAAGAAAAATTCTGGTAGTTTCTAAATAGGTTTAAGAATAAAACTTACTTAAATCCGAAATTTTTAAACCAATATAACCAATAATAAAAATGTTGACTTTCGAAAGTGTTATGTGGGGGTGCCAGAATATGTCAGGAGCAGCATTTAAGGGTATAAACTATCTAAGCTTTGGCCCACCTCTCTGCAGCTTCTGAAACTATCAATATTCATAAGCTTAATCTAAAGCCAGGGCATCGTAACTTCGTTGGGGGGTTTAAATTTTTGTTTTTTTTTCCTGCCATCTTTTTGTTTACATCCATCATGGTGCTTAGCCCCCGCTCGTTAGGCGCCAGCCAAAGCAGCAGGTGCAGGAGCAAACTAACCAAACTAGGATTCCGCTGCACTCGGCAGGTCCTGTCGATCCTTGGCTCCTTGTCTGGCTGGCAACGTGTCTCAAGTGCCTGCTTTATATTTTGTAATTATAATTCCTTCTTTGGGGGCTTCCCCTCCCCTTTTTTGCATAATCAACGCGAAAAGCGTGTTTGTTCAACTCCTTTCGTTTCGTTTCCCTTTCCTTTCCTTGGGCTCCTGTGTGCGTGAGTATCTGTGTGTGTTTTCTGTTGTCCTGCGACATAATTAAGTCAATCTCATGCTGTTGACGCTGCCAGCATAATTGAGAGCGAGAGGCAGCTAACAGGGGCCAAACAGACAGACAGAGATGGCCTATGCCTCTGCGATTCAATTATGCACATTGCAAACTGCAAGCTCCACACTGCATATATGTATGTTTAGGCCTGGCCCAGACGGAGGGCCCTACTGCGACCCCCTTCGCCCACATTTTAATTGGCCAACAAAGTGCATTTAATTGGCTTAGATCCATGTTGCACAGCCAGAATTTTTAAGTTGCGAGCAGTAGCATGAACTACAGTAGAACTTATAATTGCTATTTTGCTATTTTCATTAACTTAAACTTATTTCGACTATGAACGCTGAAATAAGAGTGAGAGAGATAGAGATATGCAAGCAGACGCTTTAAAGTGGCGCCATGTACCTGTAAAATAATTATTTGCTCATAAATTTTTAATGAATGGTCTGATGAATTTTCATTTACATTTCGATAGTCATTGATAAAAACTGCTTTCTCACAAATACATTTTACTCTTTCACTCTACGAATATTAAAAATTATTATAGAAATCAAAATAAATATTGATAATTTATTATTTTTAATTTTTAATAACTAGTAGTATTTATGAAATGAAAATATTATTATTCCGACATAATTCTTTGGTGAGTGCATGTTTTTTCTGACTTAAGGAGGACCCTCTGTAATCTTATTTGCTTGGCTACACATGTCATGGGCTCTCTTATTCAGCTGACGGGCTTTCTTTTTTTCCTATCATTCTCGGTTGCCGGGCCACATTTGGATGTCAGCCAGGAGGAGACTTATCGCAGCAGAAGGACCAAAAGCAGCAGCAACAATCGCTGCTGGCACTACTTAAGGAGCATAAGTGAGCCGGTCGGAAAAGGAAGGCAGCCAGAACTTCATTTCCGTTTCGCATCAGCATCGAGTTTATAGATGTGGGCGCGTGTTTGCGATGATTAAGTTGCCGGCTGAGGTAACTGCATACAGCTGGAGGCCCAGGAAACCCAATAGAGTGGATAATGCAGGCAAATAAAACAGGTGGATGCATATATCTGCATATATGTATGCTCCAAACATTTGGCTTAAGGACGGAATTTACCCAAAGTGAGCCCAAACATTTTCTGTTCGTTTGGCAGGATTTCCATTAACAGTTTGGCTGCATTCATTTAACCATGTAAAATATATGCAATATTTACAATACATTCTGCTGAAATTTGCTTAAATCAATTGCAAGAATTTCCTTTGGCCTATGCCAGTACAAATTCTCTTTTTCCCCCTTTACATGTTTATTTTGTTGATCAGCTTTCTTTTTATGTAAGCTTGCTTTTGAGAAAATTTTAATTGAAGCTTTTAGGGAAAGGGGTTACTTAAGCAGTTTGTGGAAAGAGAAGGTTACAGATTGAAAAGGAAAAAGAGTAGTTTGTTACAAAGATGTTTGTCGCCAAAAGAGACTTAAAGAATTTTAATTCTGAAATATACATTTAATTTTTGATTTACATGCAGTTTTAAGGACCTTTTATTTTAGGTATTTTAGCTAGTTTCATATGCTCCTCTGCTAATCAGCTTAAGGAGACACCCTTATGCAGCTTACATAAAAGCATATATGTTTACAAATTGAATTCTGTTGGGTGATGCCATTGCAAAAGTTTTCGTTTCCTGTTCTTCAGCGAAATAAGAAAATGTCGGTTTCTTTTTCTGCATACTATTTTTCTTAGCATACTTCTTGGGGGCCAGCAACTTCCTGCAGCTCTGTGTGTATGTGTGTTTGGGGGCGTGGCAAGCGGGTTAAAAGTTCCAAGCTGTGCAAAGGCAGCTGCATACATAAAATGTACTCTTCTGTTGGCCAGGCCAAAAGTTGCACTCAGTGACACCCAAAACACTCAACATCAAAATAAAGAAGAAAAAAAAATATATATAAAACAAGGCGAACTCCGTTGAAGACAAACACTAAATTAACTTATGCAAGTAGCTAAAAGAGACATGAACACATACATAAAAACGGAGAGGGAGTACAAAATTGTATGTAAATGCTTGCCGGCAACTTTTCCCTACAACTTTCTTTGCTTAAAAATTAACAAACGTCGAACGGGAAAAGGAAAAAGCAGGGGCCAACATGGCGTATGCGTAACAAGTTGACTTTGCTTTTAATTTCCATAAATAACTACAAATCTCTAGTCAATTATAAAGCAGGCGAAAAAAAATACACATCCGAGAATATAAAACCGTTTCCCTAACAAGCAAAAATATTTAAAAATTAAAACACGTACACCGACAGGCAAACAATTTTACCCGTTGCGGTTTTTGGCTTATGACAATTAAACAAAAACAGCAACAAATCGCTAAACCAATTTCAAACTGAATTCGTTTCATGTTACTTTTTCATTTTTGTTTTGGCCATATATTTTATATGCGCCATTCGGACGTGTTTTTGCACAGAAATTTATCGATCTAAACTTGTTGACCAATGTTAATTAAGTGCTGTGACTCCATGGAAGCAAAGGGGTTTGTCATTTCACAGGGGGTGTTTATTCGATGATGTGTAAATGTGTCGGGAGTACAATTCTTTGGCTTTGTTTTTGGATTAGCGAAAATACATTTTCAATGATTTTATGGTGAGAATGAAAGCCAAACTGTTTTAAATGCAGTGGAACTGATGAAAAATTTACAGATTCGAAACATATTTTTTTGTCATTGTTTTTAAAGCTCTTAAAATGCATTTAAATATTTAGAATTAATTGTTTTCAACAATTTAAAAGTCAAAGTCGCTTTGGGGCGTTTTATGAACTTTTAAAGCTCGCGAACTCAAATTTTCAATGATTTTTTCAGCACCTCTTCAGCTTAATCGCCAGCATTTTGGCTCTTGGCGTTCATTCATCTTATAACGTCATTTGCCATGACTTCAAACTTTAAGCTGACGATGATGTCATTATTGTTGGCAAACTTCGGAGCTGTCGCTACAACGCAAATAATCAAAAACAACAACAAGAGCGGCGAGCTGAAGTTATGAAGCTGCTTTGACAAATTCGAAAAACAAGCAAAACGAAAAACAAGAAAAAAAATCCAAAAAATTCAGCAAAGACAAACAAGTTTTGATGGCGGCCAAAAAGAGAAGCTAACTTCAATTTTGTTTGATTTGAGTTTATTCAGTACGTATCTTTCTGTATGCTAGATATATTCAACGATAGGCTCGGCAGGTCTATACAGACAGTCAAATGTAACAAAAAGCAAATAAATGCCAAATAAATATTTATTCACAGAAGTTTGCTCAAATTAAAAGCCCAGCGGGGTATTTTCGCTTGTTTATTTGTCATTCTATATTTTGGGTTAATCGATACTTGTTGTGTTCGAAGGGCGGGGTGGAATATTTCCTACCCAGATGATATGATAGGAGAGGAGCAGGTGCTCTTGGCAATTTTGTATTAAAAAAAATGCTAAAGAATTTCTATAGATAAGGATTCCCTTCAACTTACCGGCTTTAAGATAGAGCTTGAACTTGATCGATATTTTCGATATTTTCACAATATTGATTCGATAATATCGATATTTTCAAGAGAAAACACATATTAAATATCGAGAATTAGCAAACTGTCGATATTTTTCCAGCTCTACTTTAACAGCCTATTTTTTACCAATACAGGCAATTTAAAGAATAATTTATTTTTAAATTTTAATTATCATATTCTCAGAAGACCCTACTTTTATTTCAGTTTTAATTAATGCAAGCTTTTCTTCTCCATAAGCAACCATTCCATTAGGCGCATTTCTCAAAGGGCATTCGAATAATTCTTATCAATTTGTAATCTTAATCCCGGCCAATTTATCATGCGACAAATTGACGTAAGCTAAAAAAACTCAGCTAGAATACTTCCGAAAACAAAAGACAACAGCAGAATAAGACTCAATCCAAACAAAGTCCAAATGAGGGAAGTAACAACATCATTTAACATCTGGTTAGGCTTTAAAGCTCGTTTTTGTCCACACAATTGGGCACATTAATTAATTTTAATTAGCTAACGCTCAAAGCATACAAATGGATCATAAGTATAATAATAATTTCGAAAGAGGGAAGAAAATAATTTAAATGCTCGTTCATGATTAAAAATAATTCGGTGACGTCACAGAGAAGCGGCTACGTTTTGGAGGTCAGTGCTATATACTCGTTTTTTATTTTCTCTCTCCCTCTGTTCGGGGCGATGACGTCACGGGCTTCGTTAACATTGCATGGTAAGTTCACATATTTTTTCTCGCAGCGTGTGAGCAGCGCTCTAGCGAATTCAAAGTTCTCCTCCAGTTTCTCTCATTCTCAGGGGCAAAATAAAAAAATGGAAACATTGTTTGCCGGCTATTTGCATTTGCAAATAAAAGCTAGTGAAAAAGAGAAACGTTCCCCCCGGTCTGCCGCATTTTTAACGGGTTATTTATTATTATGACTGTGGGGTTCTGTTCTCTCCAAAATCCACAGCTCCCCTAGAAGTCAATGTCAATAAATATTTCACTTATGACAAGTTGACATTGCGCCAAGGCATTTTCCAACCAACCAACCACCCACCCATCATCCACCTACTATTTCCCAGCCGTATTTCATAATTTTGGACAAGCCGCTGGGCCATAATTGACCCGCTGCTGATCGATAAACTCGAGTGACACATTGTGCATACGCTCTGTGGGCCAAATGGATCGGAATTGATGATGTGGGCGTCCATTGTGGTCGATTTTCATGTGTCGCAATCACTATTAAGGGCCATTAATTTATGCGGCCAGCCAAAGTCTAACAAATCATAATGAGAATGTGTGGCCAACAGGCGGAAAAATGAATTGTTGTTGACGGAAAGTTGCTAAATATGAGGGTCTTCTTTTTTACAGAAGGAAAAATTTTAATTTTGACATTCTGCAATATCAGTATTTCATAATAAACACATCAATTATCTTAAGGCGAAAAGAATATAACGCTGAAAAATATCTTCTTAAAGTTTATACGCATTCCTCAATTTACAAGTTTGTTCAAATGTACTTCATTTTCTTTTCTATTACCATCTCTAATTTTATAGCACTTGCCGTTCATTAACCTTGGACAACTCCCATAAGATCTCATTTAAGATTTGGAATGCATCGCTGAGATTCCACATAAACCGACAGTGGAGCTTCCTAAACTAGAGCACCATATGTTCTGTATGTATAAAAATAATACAGTTATAATTTGTGCTCTAAAAATTAACAAAAATAAATTTTTGTATAAAAATATTTCAATTTATTTATTTTCCTGAATGTTGGGGTATATAAATTATACACATTATAGTTTCGGAATTATTCTCAGACTAACAAAAAATATTATCTATATCAGTAATTTCGTATGATATTTTAAGATTTTCAAGGTTCTTAAAATTCGGACTTATAAATCGGTTTGAACAAACAATTTTAATAGTTCAACTTAAAGAAGATGCGCTGTAAAAAGAGTTTTTTGGGCCGGGGAACGGTGTTAGTTGGGTGCGTTTGCGGCGATTTCTATTTAGAGCTCCAGAAGCACAAACAGCTGTACATAGGAAAGCCCAACGACGCTTACGAATGCGAATGGGAAAACGAATGTGGTGGAAGGCGAAACAACAATAATAATAAAGCCAAAAGGTGAGAGCGGAAAAAATAGAGAGAGCGCGGCGGCCACATTCACATTCGTGTTGTATTTTTTATGACCGCCAGTGCCGCCGCCGCCGACGAAGTCGACTACTAATTTTGTCGATGATAGCCCTTCGGTTCGAGGCAAAGTTTCAGTCAATTTTGAGCAGGCAAGCCAAGCGGACGTATAAGTAGAAACGAAAAAAAAACTAGCTCCAAACGTCTGGAAAATATTTATTGAACAAGAGACTTGAGAGGATTACGTACTTAAAGAAGTAGCACTCGCACCTCGCTAAAAACAAACGCAACAAAATGTCAGCACGTCGCGTCACATTGAACACACGCGTCTCGCGCGCCTCCACCTCCACGCCGGTGGGTGGGGCATCCACCTCCTCAAGGGTGGGCGCCACCTCGCCCACTTCGCCCACACGCACCACCCGCATGCAGGAGAAGGAGGAGCTGCAGCATCTGAACGATCGCCTGGCCTGCTACATCGATCGCATGCGCAACCTGGAGAACGAGAACAGCCGGCTCACCCAGGAACTGAATCTCGCCCAGGATACCGTCAACAGGGAGACCTCCAACCTCAAGGCGGTTTATGAAAAGGAACTGGCCGCCGCCCGAAAGCTGCTCGATGAGACGGCCAAGGAGAAGGCCAAGCTGGAGATCGATATCAAGCGGCTGTGGGAGGAGAACGACGACTTGAAGCCGAGGTAAAGCTCTGGGTTTGGGGGTTCGGAATTGGTAACACTGCGTATTATCAGCCAGTGATGTCATATACTTATGACTGAGGAAATCACTGGGAGAAAAACGAATACTTTGAAAAAAAAACAAATACTTTCAAGAAAGTACAGGCAAACGTACATAGGACTTTTTAGGTCTAGAAAAAATCTAAACTTTTCACAAACATTCAATTTATTTTTGTTTTTGTTGTTAGTTTTCTAAAAAACTGTACCGTTTTAAAGTTTATTTTTAGCGAAATGCTTTCTATTTCAAAGATAGGGAATAGGTTTCATTAGAAATCTTCATTTAAAATCTTGGTTACAAATAATTTAAAAAAAAATTTTAGACGATTTGTAGTTCGTTCTTATAAGGTTTCCTATATTCAAACATGAGTTTATATTCGTATTTTCTTTATATGTAAAGACAGGCAGAGGGAGATAGCGAATGGGGGAGACTGAGAGCGAGCGAGGCCGATGATGTCATGCCAAAAGCACATTTCGAAAGCCGCGCACATGGGAACTCTCTCTCGCTCTTGTTTATTTTTTGCATTTACACTTCCAGAATTCTCTACGTATTTTTATGCAAAAATTTGGGCTCCCAGCTAATGAGTAACCAAAAAAAAAATACAAACAATAACAGAAATAGCGCCTAAGACATAAATCTCAATGAAGGTTACAAGACTATGATGTCATGGCACGCAGTTACAGATCCATTTGTAATACCAGTTTCTGGTGTGATGTCAACAAATGTTGGGTGCTTAGTTTTTCCATTTTCGAGATTTCCGTTTCGCGTCGTTTACGTTATCAGGCAATATTTATTTTTGGTATTTATTGCGCGATGCGGCCCAAAGCTTTTTTGGGTTTGTGTTTCGGTAACGTGTTAACGAAGTTAGAGTTTGGCTAAAAGGCACGGGCTTAAATGTTGGGTAAACTGGAATTTTCAGCGATTTAAGGTGTGTCTAAAAAGGTTGAGAAATGAAATACTATAGCAAAGGAAATGTTATTTGATTTGATACGATAAGATTGCAGCAGAAAGTGGGAATTTATGGCTATAAAAGATAAAAGATTCATATTAAATTATTCTTTTTATGCTTTTGTGGCATTGTTTACTGCTTTAAACTTAATACGATAAATATTTTTTAAATTATTTATTTTTTTTAGAATTTAGTTATCTAAAAGTTTATCAAACATTCCTAAAAACATGTTTTTAGATTCCTTCAAGTTGACAAAACCGTATATACAAATAAATTGGGTCAACGGAAGGAATTGGGGGAAAAGAAATGGAACTTCAACACGCACACACAAAAACCGAAACGCAGAAAAAATAGGGGTAAAGGGAAACACTAGAACACAAACAAAACAACCTTGAATCTATTTCGTTTTCGGTTTGTATTCCCCCGTTTTTACACAACTTTTCTTGATTAGCTACGAAAATTGTTTACATTTGCAAGCGGCAAAAACTAAAAGAAAACCGCTAAAACAGAATTGGAGGTCTAGACTCTATAGAAATACGTTTTCAAATAAGGTAAAAACATAAGCCTCAAAAGGCGGGAAACAATCTGCATAATTTAAATTTTCTTTTTTTTGTTCTTAATTCAAAGCAGGCAAAGTCAATTACGCCATAATTGAAATCATGGCTTTTGTTGTTACTCAATATAGAAAACTATTTAAAACGTGCCCACCACGCGAGGCGCCGATTGACAACCGAATTTGTTTTTTATAGAAAATATTCAGGGATTATTTGTGGAATTTTCATAGCCATTTTTTATAACGAGTTTGTTCTTGGCTAAATAGAATTCTAAATATGAAAAAGCTTTGAACTGGTAGGCGGTCATAAATCACAGGGGGTCGAGGGGAAGAGTGGTCCGAAATAGCCGGGCTACTTTATGCTAATGGCATGTGACGACTTCTCTCAAGGCAAACAAAAACCGAAAAATCGAAACGTTTAAATATTTGATTCTTACGATGGAGGATCGTTGAACGAGTTTCTTACCAAGCGGCGATAGATATTATTTAAATAAATAAAATGAATAATACATTAGCGAGATAAAGAGAGTGGCTATTTGGCTCTTGGAAAAAAATGTGAGACAAAATGTGACTCAGTTGAAATGATATAGATAAGTGACGTCATGTTTGAGCACATGTAGATAAAAGGGTGAAAAACAACATTCCAAATGAATCGTCTATAGGAATTATTGAGATAATCTAATTTATACATATATTTTTTGCTTTATGAATTTAAAGGATATTTTTAAAGGCTTGATTTACATTGAAATATATTACCTAGCATTTTTTTTAAGATCATTGAATCTTGGTTTAAATTTTTGGTTTGAAAAATGATATGGTTATTTTTCTTATAATCTTAAGTTCTTATGTATTTTTTTTTTAATTTTATTTTCCTTTAAAACCCCTTTTATTAATTTTCAAATATTCCCCTTCCCAAATTTCAGACTCGAAAAGAAGACAAAGGAGGCCTCAGTGGCCGAGAACAATGCCCGTCTGTATGAGACTCGCTACAATGAGGTCAATGGCAAGTACAACCAGGCTTTGGCCGATCGCAAGAAGTTCGAGGATCAGTCAAAGGAACTGCAGTTGGAAAACGATCGTCTGCGTCGCCAACTGGACGATCTTCGCAAGCAGCTGGAGGCTGAGACCCTGGCCCGCGTCGACTTGGAGAACCAGAACCAGAGCCTGCGCGAGGAGCTGGCCTTCAAGGATCAGGTGCACACCCAGGAGCTCACCGAGACCCGCTCGCGTCGCCAGATCGAGATCAGCGAGATCGATGGCCGCCTGTCGCGCCAATACGAGGCCAAGTTGCAGCAATCGCTGCAGGAGCTTCGCGATCAGTACGAGGGCCAAATGCGCGCCAATCGCGAGGAGATCGAGCTGCTGTACGACAACGAGATCCAGAACCTCAAGGCGGCCGCCAACCGGGCAGCCCAGGGATCCGCTCATGCCACCGAGGAAGTGCGCCTCATGCGCACCAAGATCGATGGCCTGAATGCCAAGCTGCAGGACCTGGAGAACACCAATGGGGCCTTGAATGTGAGTAATTAAAGGTTATCTTAATAGAAGGTTTATAAAATATTCTATTTCCTCCACATAGTCTCGCATTCGGGAGCTGGAGAACCTTTTGGACACGGAGCGCCAGCGGCACAACCAGTACATTGCCTCTTTGGAGGCCGAACTGCAGCGCATGCGCGACGAGATGGCTCACCAGCTGCAGGAGTACCAGGATCTGATGGACATCAAGGTGTCCCTGGACCTCGAGATTGCCGCCTACGACAAGTTGCTGTGCGGTGAGGAGCGTCGCCTTAACATTGAGTCACCCGGCCGTCCCACCGCCGACTCGGGAATCTCCAGCAATGGCAACTCCCATCTGTCCGCTAGTGCCAGTTCTCGTTCGGGCAGGGTGACGCCCAGTGGTCGCCGCTCGGCCACCCCGGGAATCTCTGGTTCCAGTGCCGTGAAGAGACGTCGCACTGTCATCGATGAGAGCGAGGATCGCACGCTGTCCGAATACTCGGTGAATGCCGCTGCCAAGGGCGATCTGGAGATCATCGAGGCGGATGTGGAGGGACGCTTCATCAAGCTGCACAACAAGGGCACCGAGGAGATCAACCTTACTGGCTGGCAGCTAACCCGCATTGCCGGCGACGAGGAGCTCGCATTCAAGTTCTCGCGCGGATCGAAGGTTCTCGGCGGAGCCAGCGTGACCATTTGGTCGGTGGACGCCGGTACCGCCCACGATCCTCCAAACAATCTGGTGATGAAGAAGAAGTGGCCGGTGGCCAACTCGATGCGCTCGGTGCTGGCCAATGCCGACAAAGAGGTGAGAGTCTTGTCCATATACAACACGTGCGGCACTTGCGACATCTGCCGCCACTGCAGACATCTCGAATTCGTGCTCGACCAGTACGATATAATATAGAATATATCTTTTGGATTGTAATTTATAAATTTTGTATCTTCCAGGATGTTGCCAGCTACGACCGTGTCCGTGCTAACGTTTCCAGCCACACCTCGCGGCATCGCAGCAGCGGGACGCCCAGCTCAGGGTTTACCCTCGGTTCCGGAGCTGGCTCCACTGGCGTGAGGAGTCTCTTCTCCCTGCTCTTCTAGAATTCGAATCGGATTGGCTTGCTTTCCAGACGGCTCTTATCCTAACCAAACTCCCAACTCACCGCAGAGACTCACAGACTCCGAGCTGCACATTCACCACAAACACAATCACGTAGATCTGATATATGATGTTATATCTAAGGATAAATGCCTATCACATATCAAGCGGAATGTGAATTATATGTACAACAAACAACCTTCGTTCAACTCTTAATGTTAAATGTTTAAGTGCCCTTAGTTCATGTCTTTGACTCTATGCGTCGTCTCCTATGCTTAAGTAAGATTTTTTCACTACACACACTCTCTTTTTGTAATTTATAATGAGAACATGCATTTCGCTAAAAAAAAAATCAAAAAACAAACAAACAAACAAATAAATATATATGTTGAAAGAAGAAAATGGCAAGAAAATCAATTAATGAGCTTCAAGTCTTTCAAGTCTGTGTGGTATTTTTTGGCGAGGATGCCAAAGCAGCTTAGGCTAAAAAGGAGGATTTGCGCGTGGAAAACTTCTTGAGTTGCTGTCGCGGCATTTTCCGCTATCTCAGGTCCAAGACCAGGCCATAATGGACAGGTAAGTGGAGGAAATTAACTACAACAAGTCGGTTGGGGAATGGCGAGTGGGGAACGGGGGTACAGGTGCAGCTGGGAGCAAAACTATGGGCTAAAACCGAATGAGGTCAACGAAAAAGTTTCGCAACTTTACAACTTGAAAATAAATTAGGTTGGATCACCGGGAAAGGTCGAACAAACTGGAGCTAAACTTTTTAATGGAGCAAATATACAGCTGCAGGCGGTGGCGAAAAATATTATTAAGCAATTCAGGGGTTTGTCATTTAAATTAATAAGTGACTGGGACACTTTAACAGTTAACCTGAGGTTTTCAGTGTACTGTGTTTTTCTCTTCTTTGTAATGTTAAAAATTATCGATAATTTCGATATCTTGATAATATTGATTCGATGAATTTGATTTCCAATATTTTATTATTATTTTTTTGCAGAATTAAAATAATGATTTACATTTACAAAATTTCTAACTGATTTCGATATTTACTTTTCACTTATCTTTTTTATAAAAATGTGAGTTCGAATACTTTACTTAAATAAAATAAAATGTTTTTTGAATTTTCAAATGATTTTTCAATCTATCTATCTATCCAGATTATATCTGTAAACATTTTTTAGAGTTTGGTATTTCTGAGACCAGAAATTCTTATTCACTCCACTGTTCCAGCTTCATTTTGGGGCCAACTCCGCAGGAATTAACGTCACCAGGAAGAGGATCCTTTCACGACGCCGGAGCCAAATAGGGTTATCTATTGCTCAGCCATTTCTTGCAGTGCATGAGCAGCCACTAAGGCAACTTAGCGGCGCTTGAGTGAGTGCACGATTCAATGGAATGGACGCAAGAGAAAGGCGGAGGAGAAAGCGGGAGAAAGCAGGGCTAGGGAAGGCTGAGAAGCGTAGGCGGGCAGACAGTTGACTTCAAAGTAGTTTTCCTTCGGAAAAAGTTTTTTCCTCCTCGGCGCACGTTTGCATGCGCATAATAGGATTAGTCAAAGTAATAAGTTGTTTTCCTTCTCTACTTTCAGCTGCTGATGCTACCTAGATTCCTGCTGCTCACAGGAGCAGGATTGTTGCTGTTTTCTTCGCTTTTTTTCTCGGCCAGGTGAGTGGGCGTGGCCAGTGGTGCTTTGAAATGCAAATCTCGTCGAGACAAAGAAGAGACAGGCAGGTGAAAGGAAAGTTTTTCGACAGCTGCCAGCGAGTATGCAACATATTTTGTGGCATAAAAACCAAAGCCGCGAAAGCCCAGCAAATAAATAAAATAAGTAGCATAAACAAAATGCGTAAAGTCTGCACGGGTAAAATATTAAAACATGTGTTGGCATTAATTGAGAATGTAAATAATTTAATTATTGAATTTAATTTTCAAATTGTTTTCTTAATGAATGACAATAAAAACATCACGTCATGTTCTTTTGATAATAAAAATGTAACCTAAAAAAATTAATTTATAACCATTTAAATACTTTTTAGTTTAAATAATAATCAGTAAAAATGAAAAAAATAATGTTTTTTGGATTATATTAATTCAACTTAATTTTATTAAATTGTATCCATTTAAATACTTTAAATTAAATTCTTAACATAATTTTAGTTTAATTAAAAATCACTAATAATGATAAAAAGTGACGAGTTTTTTGATTATAATAATTCACAAAAATTAAATGAATGAATTTCCATTTAATTAGTCTCATGTTTCATATTATTTTCCCTCAGTGCACACTCATATGCAGAGCATTTGAAGCCCAAACCCAAGCTTTTGGCTTATTGTGGTTTATTTTGTTGTTCTGTGAATTTTTGCGACTATTTTCGAACTTTTGCCAGCTTCCGCCTTTCGCCGTTCCCTGTGCAACTTAAGTGCATGGAACACGCTTATCGGTCACATCCATTCGCCCCAAATCACACACACTCGAGCACACAGAGACTTTTGGGGCTTAGGCCAAGATTTTGGGCCAACTGTGGGCCGACAGTAAGTTTGGTAAGTGGACTTTGAGTGACCTTTTTGTGGGGATCCTGTGGCCATTCGGTTCCTGGCAGGGTTGTTAGCTGCTAGCTGCTGTCGGGATGGTTTGGTTGAAAGTTCAACACACAATAAAATTATGCAAATCTTGGGATCAGCCGCTTACGATTTCCACTCATCCATACACACACTCACATATTCTCCGGCCTACGCACTTAGTTTCCTTTTGGAAGGATGTGGCAAAAGTTTGGTTGCGGTCTTTCTCTGGGTTCAATTTTTGATTTATTAATTGAAATAATTGGCCAAGTTGGCCAAAGCGTTGCGATAGAGTGGCAAATAGCCGAAGGAATTGATTTGTGATGAAAAAGGGAAATGTCTTGCTGGAATATTCTATGATTCGTGGTCGGAGATTTTAGGATTCCCTTTAAATCCCTTGGAATGATTACCATTTATATGTAATTTAAGGGTCTCAAAATATTTTTATCAACCTCTCATTGCGTTATGTAAAGTTAAATAAAGTCTTAGTTGTGCAGCAACTTTACAATTAGAATTTTTCTAAATTTTTTCGCAGGAAGTCTTAGTTGTGCAGCTAATTAACAACTAGAATTTTCCCAGAGTTTCTGCAATAACTAATTGCTTTAAACAAGATAAAACATTTTATTATAGAAATTACTCTTTTTAGGTCAAGAATGAAGCTGTTCACTCTGTAATAAAGGGTATTGTCATCCAAAACAGGATGTGTGTGTGCGTGGCTGAAGCGTCTAACAACCCAAATAACTGCTTAATTTGTTTTTCCTCCGACCCCTGCTATGAAAAGCCCTGCCAAATTTCACCTTTGCTGTTTGCTTGCACAGCAGCAGCAACAATAACAGGCAAGAAAAGCAAAGGGCAGGCGATGAGGGTAAACAAAGGCAACCTGAACCCAAACTCAAACTCAAACTCGAACCCAAAAACCCGAATTCAAACCCCCTAACCCCCTTAAAAACCGTCAGCTGGCTGTTAGTTTGTTGACTTTAATGGACCAGTTCTATAGAAGCGGAGGAGTGCCAAAAAAGGATACCCCGGAAAAACTGACACCGCCTGGTCACATGCGGTTCAACGCCCAAAAATGAGGAGATTTGGCCAACAAGGCCAGTTGAGGCAGCAGAAATTATTTGCCACTCTTTCGTAGCTCGGGGTTTTAGAGGGTTAAGAGTGTTCGGGGCTTGTTTATGCCTAAATCAATTTGCCGCATGAACGGGTCTTAAGTGTAAGCGAAGGGAAAAGGCTTCATTCCCCCAAAGACCCTCATCCACCCCCAAATCCCCGAACCCCTCACCGAACCATTCATATTCATACGTGTCCCGGACTAAAGGATTATTAGGAACTTTCCACTCCAAAAGTGAGACGTGAGTGGCCTGCATGCGGTTGTAGGGGCGGAAAAAATGTGGAAAATTAATAAAAACAAATTATAAAGGCATTCCCCCGGCGAAATGCCCCGGAATTTATGCTGTTTCCTAAATATATTCTGGAATTGTTTTTGCCTCTGGCATCCAGCAGCACACATCAAGAATTTGGCCCATCTCAGGAACTCTTTCACATATTAAAGCCGCAAAAGCGGCGGGGACAGACATGATGATGTTTGACCCCTGTGCAGCTGCATTCTTGGCCATATGCAAAATGTGGGTCAAATAAGCCAGAAAGGATTGTGCACGGGCAGCCATTACGTGATGCACGTGCCACACCTCAGCAGGTGGGCGTGGCGCCATGTCTATGGCTGCCCTTTTTTCACCCACCCCTCGTTCTTCCTGTCGAAAATGCCACAATTCATCTTTTTAATCGCGACCCATAAATCAAATGTGCGCCACAAAAATGCAGGCCAAAAGGGAAAATTCTTGTGGAAAAAAATCATGTTGCATACTTCGTGGCGCGCTTTAAATTTGATGGGAGAATTATGTAGGGTTCCATTGCAATAGACTAGAAGTCTAGATATCTGTACATTAATTGCCCTCAAGGGGGTTCAAAAACGGTAATCAGTTTTTATATCTAAAAGTGCAATGATTTTCGGGAGGGTTGCTCAAAAAACAAGATATATTTAATGGGAGGATATTTTTTTAAAAATCAATATATATGTAAAGGTAGAAATATTTGATCAATATGTAAATAAAATAAACTAAATGTAGGCTCAAGTAATAACCATTCATTAATTACAATTTAAACTTAATTGATTTTGCAATATTCCTGTGCAAAACGAATCAGTTAATTGAGGAATTTGTCACAGACCTCAAACCAGAAGCCCTGTCCCTTCCATTTAACCTTGTGTGTGCAGGTCGATCAAAACCCAATTAACTTTGGTTGTTAAACGAACCAGCATCTGCCCCTCATGCCAGCCAATAATAATAATTACAGAGCTGGGCAAATTAGTTGGCCAAGAATGAGGAGCGCAGAGAGTGAGGGAGACTCCTTTCACTTCCCGTCACATAAATCAAACTAAACTCCCTATGCATGTCCTTTGTTGACCATGTTCTGGTCGATTGTGGACCAAGTCGTTAATTGCCTGGGCAAACCCACTTCCCACCTTCGCCTTTCGTCCTTTCGAGGCGGTCACAAGGTACAGGAAAAATATTTGTGTTTAATTTGGTTACACACATTTCGGTTTGCTGTAACTGCAAATTGATTATTACTAGCCAAAACGCAGGCAAATGAACGAGTTGGGCGGGGGGTTAAATGTGGGGTTAAGGGGGTCAGAGGGTGGAGAATCGTGGCAATGGAGCCGCAATCTGCACAACTCTCAGATCCGCACATCCCTTGCCGCTCCATTGGGCTGCGGTTTTTGCCAACGAGTGGAGCGACAGGCACGACGACATTGCATGTTGTCGGTCGCCATGGGTTAACATGGCTAGTTTGGTAAAAAGGGTGTGTGCACACGGAAAGAAAATATAAAATAACAGGATATCTGAAATATCTGTTGTCTTAAGATTGGAATGTTTTTATACAATTTCTGAAAAATCGACCTATAACATTGAAGATGTTGTGTTTTTTTTAAAGAAAAGTAGACAAAAGCCTTGAAATAGGTTTTAAAAAAAGGGTACACCAAAAACATATATTAATCTAATGTATTTTTTGGATCTAGCCTTCAAATATTGAATATAAAAACTAATTGAAATATTTATTTGATATTTGATATGACAGAATCTTGAATCCTTTACAAGCAATTAAAATATTAGTTAAGAGGAGTCCTTCTAAGATGTTTAAATGTTACAGAACATTTAAGAAATTATGCATTCCATAATAAAGTTAGAAATAATTGGGGATGAAACTGACAAAATTTGTTTTTAAATATTTGCTTATCACGATCGTACGATTATTAAGATTGTAACAATAAAACAAAAAGAAAATCTTCCATGTTATGCATGGTAGCTCATATTTCAACCTACTCTTCTTTCTCAGTGAGTGAGCATGCGAAAGATTCGCCGCAAACGCGAATCTCGAAGCGAGCTGGGAGTCTCCTCCGGTTTCAGTTGGCAGCTTCGGCTTTCAAGACCCCGTTCTCCCCTTGATGATTACACAAAATTGAATGGCCGTGCATCCTCTCCTTTCCGTGGCTGTGGATGTGAATGTGGATGTGTCTACTGTCTACATCTCTGCACGATTCTCCGTCCCTGACTGTGTGTCAATTTGAGTGTTGAAAAGTGGTCTCCAGTGGCGGCGGTTTAGTTTGCTTTTCGCGTCTCCCCAAATCTCTCCCTTTCGCCATTTCTCCTCTGGTTTGGTGTTCTGTTGAGAATCGCGAATTTCTGCTTGCCATTTGTGTGCAGATAACTTTGTTGTTCGCTGTTTGTTGTTTTCCGTTTGCATGCGCGAGAATGTGGGGAATGCGTGTGTTTTATTTACACGCTCCCACATCGCAGCCCCTCTCATTTTGTCGCCCTGAGCTTTTCGATGGGCGTATCGCCTTAATGTATCCCAAATTCAAATTCAATAGCTACCGAAAAGTTTTTCTACTTAAGGAACAAAAGTATCTGGGAGATAGATTTGCGAGGCGCGGACTGTAGATTTCATTTAGAAATCAAATGTCAGACAAAGCCTTTTAATATTACTAGAGTCGTCGAAAATATGTTGTAAGAGGAGGTATTTGTACCCTTTTTTCATGTTTTCTCCATATTTTAGCTTTAAATTCCAAGACAAATTTTATTATTAGAAATAAGAAAACTAAAAATACCCTCCAAAAAAACAAAATTTTGCCCAAATATGGAATGTCAACCGTTTTGAGTTCCTAACTAAATTTCCAATAGATCGACATTAAAATGTAAAACTTTAGTTTTTACCATTTTTTTTTAAAACATTGTGACATGCAAAAATTAGTCAAAAATATTATTGTATAAATCTAAGCTTGGCGAAACCATTTTTAAGTTTAGTTTCAGAATTTAACAGAACTAAAAATAAAAGGAAATAAAATTCGTATTTTTGCCATAACTCCTTAAGCAGTCCTCATAGATAAATAAATAATATTGTTCCAAAGAAATATTCACACATCGTAAGTACAAATAAAAGTAAAGTTCGGTTCGCTTAATTACAGCACGCAGTGTTTCGAACTTCGAGACACGAGAACAAGTTGTTGCATAGTTCCATCGACCAAGTTTCTGGGAGTCCCCAGCTCAAAAGCCCCACCTCAGAGTCGCTAAGTAGAGCAAAGAACATACTCGTTACTTGTTTCTTGTCGATTGAGCGAACCAACAAAAGCCGCAACAACTTGCCAAGTAAGTTCGAGTCGCTATTTCGAAGCCCCTCTTGCAACCCGAGAAAGTTCCATCAGCCAACCGAGTTATCAGCCACAAATAGGCGGCGTGTACATATGCAAATGTTCCCCGGGGAGAAACTTATAGGAAGACTCACCTCGAATGTTGTGAAGACGATTTTCTCAATGGAGCCGAAGTAGCGTTCCCACAGGACCTGAGTCTGCTGGCGGAGGGCGAAGATGCGTTCCGCCGATATGGAGCGCACGATATCGGGCACCTATATAAATGGAAGAAATGGGTTAAGAGATGGTTATACATGGCGCATACGTAATCCCAGCTTAATAGATGCAGTTCTCACAGCCCGGCACCTGAGCAACAATGCATTAATTTACAATGCAAAGCTTAATTGGTTAAAGGATTTCAGCCACCCACGGGTGCCATTCATCATAATTGCTGGGCAGGAGTGGCCGGATAGCTGGGCCCTCTAAAATTCAAACAGTTTAAAGAGTTTGCCCATCCACCAGCCAGTCGAGAGTTGAGTTTCGAGTCCGTGCTCAAGTTTCCTGCTCAAGTTAACTTAATTAATTGCATTTCCTGCCAATAAACTACAAAGGCAAACATGCCAATGGACGGGGGACCGGAAGTGCAGGAGGAAAAAGGAGAAGGAGCAGCAGAAAAAGGAGCTGCGAGGAGGAGGAGGAGAAGGGCAATTCCAAGGGCAGGGCAATTGGCAAACATTGCGCCAAGACTTTGTCGCGAATGAAGTGCGACAGTAGCAGAAAGTTCACAGAGAAGAAATATTTAAAGAAAATCTTCAGAGATTTTAAATCGCCTCAAAAGTTTCTAAAAAGTATGCTATAAAAAATATGAAGCCCTTTTTTAGATAAAGTACTTAGTTAGTTTAGTTAAAAGAGTTTAAGCAGTTATGGCAATTCACTAAAAATATACATATTATCTAAGTTTTTAAGAAACTTCAAAATACATATGTTTCTTATGTTTTTTCCTGTCAACATTTTTTAAGATTTTTTCTGCGTGTAGCTTCACCAGTTGGACGCGCAAAAGCGTGAAGAAAAGGACACTGGCAGGCAGGCAAACAAATGGAGCAGGACACGCACACACACAGAAGGAGTGTCAAAGAGCTTTCTCCAAGGAGAAACACGAAAAGGTGCGGACACTTGCGAACCACTCACCTGGCTCTGATTGGGAAATCTTCGCCGCAAACAGAGGCAGCAAGAGGGTTAAGCGCAAGAATGTGGACAATCCTAATGGAGGCGCCAAAGTCCTATAACCGTTGAGTGCGATTCTTGGTCCTGCTGCTTTCTGATTCCTTTTACAAGGAATTAACGTGGTGCACTTTTATTCAGAGGGATACAGAGTCTCTGAGTGACAACTTTTCAATGCAAATGCATGTTTCAATGTTTACTTCTGGGTTTAACGAGTTAAGGTTTATTTTCCATGCTATTTTATGTTTTTTGTTTTAGTTTTGGGTATAAGTCAAAACTAATTAAATTATTAAAACCATTTTAAATATTTTTCAAACAATTTCCCCTAGCTTTAATCAAGTTGAAATGCTGATGACACTTCTCCTGTTCGTAGAAAACTTTTAAATTAATTTCACCCCCCCATAACTTTGCTGGGCCAAGGACATGGCAGGACCTCTGAGCTCTGGCTAACAGGTGCACAAATCTTGCAAACTCTTGGCAGAATATTCATCAATGGCAAATGGCCGGACATTTTAGAGGGGCCAATAAAAAAGTGCAACAAATATTTGCGACGCTGCAAAGTGACAGCTCTCTCGCTGGTTTGTATTTACAAGGGTTACACTTCCCAGCCAGTCAGGCAACCAACTGGCGGACATAAACAATGAAAACTTTCCTCTTTTTAGACATGGGGCCAAATGAAATCGCTTTGGCCAAACGACTCCAAAAAGTGGCACACGAACTGCCACAGAACGCTGTGCTTTCAATATTTCATATAGGGGGCCTCATATCCCAACTATATATAGTATGGCCATCCACAGATATCAATAAATATATATGTATGCCTCACCTGCAGGAGGAGGCGCTCATCGGCCCAAATGGCGGCCTGCTTCCAATCGATTTTCGATTCAAACGGCAACACCCAGGCATTGGACAATAGTACGGGAATGCATCCAGCCTGCAAGGCTTCAAGGAATCTGCAAAAAGAAAAAAATAAAACAAAAAATGGAAAAGGGACGAACACCCGAAAAAAACCATGATAAAATGGCATTGTGAAATGTAAAATGAAAATTGTTTTTTATGTTTTCCAGCCATTTTTTATTACCTACTCTTCGCATTTTTTTTGTGTGGCTTTTTGTTTGTGCTTACCTAAAGGAACCCAAACGACGTCCACGCGGCACCAAGCAGAAAGTGGAATTTTGCAGTAGGGTCTCGTAGTCGTACCTGCAATGGAGGAGCAACGGGGCAGAGGTGAATGGTGGGTGAGAAAGAGCGGGTAGAACATGTAAATTAGTGAGAGCCATGGCATTGCATAATGGGATTCTGGAGCAATTAATCGAACAAAGGAGCCGAGCGACGAAAATGCGACCCCAAGGAGATGCAGACATCCGTTGGAGAACTTATCGGCATTACAATACCTTAATGGGTGGCGAGTGGAGGTGTACAAATGAATTTGGTTCACGTGGAAATAAAGTCTGGCTAATTGGTTAAAATGGGTTAAAGTTTACATAGTCAAATGGTTCATATTCCCAACATAACTTTAAGTACCAAACATGTTTGAATCAAAAACCGCCATAAAATACACAGAAAAATAATTCTATATGAAATAGGGTAATTTCGACCTTATTTCATATTAATTAATGTCAAATTTAAGATTCAAACATTTCAACTTGATATTTAATAATTTTATAAGTTATAAAAATAGAAGTGAACCCCTTTAATTTATTAGTTTTAAACCGAAACCAAGATTATTTTGGCTTACCTTAAAGTAATTATTTTTCTGGTTTAGGGATTATTTTCCCCCATTCCCATTTCGTTTCTTTTAATTTCACAAAAATTACTTAGGTCTCTCTCTCCCACTCTTTTGATATCGTTTGGCTGCTTAGCAATTGAATCTGTTTCATTCAACTCGTTCTGCTTTGCTCTTTGATATTCGGCAAAATTCCTGTAATTCCAGCTTAATGCTCAACAGGGCGTATGCTTAGCATTTGCTCACATTACTCATACGCCGCGTTATCCGACTACGCAAAGCGGTGAAAAGCGGAATCGAAGGGAGGGGGGAGGAGGAAGAGCTAAGACCACAGTGCGCGTTTCGTGTGGCCACTTTAATCTTTAATTCCAAAATCAAAGCCACGAAATGCATCAAACTGCCATAATACGTATACGCCATGTACGCCAAACATTGATTCAGGTGAGTGTGGGTGTGGATGGGTATTGTCCGCAGGGGTTGGTGGTTTTGATAGGGCGGGAATTACGAGGTTGGGCAGTGGGATTGGTGTGCTGGCAGTTTACAAGTTAAGTTGCGCGTAAAATTACATGTAGTTGGGCATGTTCTGCCCTCCAGGCAGCATACACAATCCCACAACCCCAGCCCCCTATCATACCCACCCAATCCCTAGCAATCCTGCCCCTCCTGGAAATCCCGACCCCTCATCATGAAACTCCCCTAAATGGTCAGCAATTTGTGCTCGGTACATTCGCGTTTTAAAAGCAGAATCAGCAAAAAAATTTATTAGGAAACTGCATGCGCAGCTTTTTGGACATTGACAACGCACAGAAAAAGAGAGAGAGCGAGAGAGAGGGGTAGAAGGCATTAGAAAGAGAGAGGGAGAGCCAGAGGCAGCCTGCAACAGTCCTAGTCTTCGGTATGAATAATCTTGAGCAAACAACATAAATTGCATGTTGGCTTGTTTCTGACATTTTGGCGAGAGTTGAAAAATTACACTGCCAAATGCATAGGCAGGCAAACTGAAGTCAGGGTCTTCAGGGAGGGTGACGTCAGCTGATAAGGAGAAGGGGAGGAAAATGAAATGATAAAGTTCAGAACATTACGCAATGCAGTCTCAAATAGTTCTAGGAAATTAAATCTAGGAAATTATTATCAACATTAAAAGGGAAATATTAAAAGATTTAATCTAAGTGATTTCCCAACTTAAAAGGTTATTTATCTATACTAAATTATAATAAATTATTATTATACTTTAAATCCTTAAGAAATACTGTTTGCAGACTATTAACACTCGCATATATTCCTAACCAAACTATATTCGAACAATCTCAAAAGGCCTAAAGTCATACCAACTTTTTCCAAATATAGATTAGCCAATATACAAACCATTTCAAGCTGAAAATTCTCCCAAATTTCGTTTGTTCAGTTTACTTTCTTAATTCTCTTCAGGCTATTTGGGTTGAATGGGTCATTTGCTTGAATTTGCCTGCACCGAAAAAAAGATAGCCAACATTTTTATTACACTTAATTTATGTAGGCAAATTCTTTTGTGTTTTCTCCCTCCTTTCGCGTTGAGAGGGGCGTGGCTTTTGGCCTAACTAATTAGACAACATTATGCATACAAACTTGGTTTAACATTCATGTACATATGTCGGAACATTCACAGCTCCTTATGCAGGTCACTGCACTGGCTTATATAAAGTATCCTACCCTTCGTTTCTCCCCAGTTGCTCTTCGCTAGTTAGCTACTTGTTTAAGCAATTAAGAGCCGCCAACATGCAATGTTGTTGTTTAGACAGCAGCTTAATTCGCCCAGCGACCTCTTCTGCCCGCCCAAACTTTAATTAAATGATTTTTAGCTTTCAGCCAAGTTGGGCGAACAGTTCTGTTCGGTTCGGTTCAGTTAAGTTCGGCAGTGTTGGGCTCTGGGTTCTGAGTTCCGAGTTCCGGGCACCCCAACAACATGCGAGCAAAACTTTTACTATTTACACGCGTTTGTTGTCAAAAGTTGTTGCCACTGCTTCTGTTTCTGAAAACAGAGATGTTTATGCCACTGGCCGTGTGCCCAGTTAAGCTGGTAAAAGCAAAAGGCACGACCACTTCATTAGGCATTTAGACAGATGACTATGGATTTAATAGGCAGAATGCAGCAGTAATTAATAAGGCTTTTGATTTTGTACTCATTTGCAATTTTCACTTTTCCTATTTATTGACTAAAGAAAGCGCTCTTCGTAAAAGTTTATCAAGTAGTTCACAACTTGCGTGCCATATTCAAAGGGTTATTTATTTTTTAAGTTTCCTTCAAACAGTTCATAACTTGCGTGTTTCATAACTTAAGCAACAAGTTGGAAATTTTCTTTATTGCCTTTGAAAAGCCTTGAAAAAGTTTTTTTATGTCACTTGGAGGCTAAGTTATGCAGCAGTAATTAATAATGCAGTGCAGTTTTACTCGAAGAGTAATATTAAAAAAACAAAAGCAACTAAGAATTAAAAAAGGTATTTTGATTTAAGTGCTTTATTACATTTTTTAGTGTACCTATTATTCAGTTTCATAGCAAATTCTATTAAGAGACATTAAATTTTGGTGATTTATCAAGTTTTTCAAATTTGAATATTTTTTAAAAAATTTTAAAATAAGGAACTTGGATTTCTTCACATTTATATTTAAAGAAAACTAATTTATAATTTTCCTTAATTTATATGGTATATTTTTTCATGCTGAAAAAGTTTCCCCTTTTGAAATTGGTTTTCTTTTCCGATGAAGTGAATCTTTAGAAATTTTATGAATCATTCTCAGAAAGCAAACAACTTATGGAGTTTCTTACAAATTGCTTGTTTCCAAGCCTCGTAAAACTTTTTGCTCAATAAGAATTTCAGCACATACTCGGCAATTACTTAGTCAGAGTTAAATCGTTCGAATTTCCCCACCTGTTGCGAAAGCATTTGCCAGGGACTCAGATTCAAATTGAGATGCAGACTCAGGGGGGAATTGGACCTTAGGAAGAAAGCCACAAAGTAAGTCACTTCAGTTCATGTCAATTGCTCGAGCCTAGGCCAGCAGAAAATTAACATAAGCAACAGGGAGGGGGCGGTGGTTAGGGGGCGGTAACCCACTAAGCTCGCAGCAGGCATATAATTTAAGTGGTTTCCAGCTGTCAAAGGTTGTGCCCTCCTGCTGCCGGTGGTTTCATTTTCCTGTGCTTTGTGGATTTCTTTTTTTCCCGGAGCTGTTTGTTGTTCGGGGAATTCTGGTTCTAGGGCTGATTGAGTGACTGACAAACTGACTGACGACGACGACGGTGGGGAAATGAGGTTGTGATTTCCCATTTAGTCTCATCATTTGGGCTTTGCCTTTGACAGGTGGAGCATCCACCTTTCGTTTCCTCTCCTCTCTCCCGGAATCTAATCCACCTTTTGTAGTTTTCCGCATATCGACTCTTGAGCTCTTGTGGTTTTTCCTCCTTTTTTGTATTTTTCCTGCCCAGCACTTATGTATCGTTCTTTTGTATTTCTGAATCCGCCCTGTCATCTTTGCTTTTTGCCAAGAACTCCTACAATTTGGTCTCGGTCTCGGTGGCGTATGCGCAACATTTAGTTAATTGCTGAAAGCGAACTATACGAAACATTTTGCCTATGGTATGGCTGGAATTGCCTGTCAGCTGCAGCGAAATGCAAAATTAATTAAAAATATCCTAAAAACAGCAAAGATGAGCGCAAGAAGCAAAGCTGAGAACCAAAAAAAAAACTGCAAATGAGCAAAAAGAAATGGGAAAACGTCAGGACAGCAGGCAAGTTGGCAAAAAGTTTTCGCGAAAAGACGAAAAGCGACTGCGATGAATTTCAATGAAAATTAAATTTTTCAAAAACAGCATTTGGAATAAAGACAATTTGGAACGCATTTCGAATGCACTGCAAGTCCCCAGAAAGCAGACAGAAGGCAAAGAACAAAGTGCCAGCACAAACAAAAAATCAAACAGAAAGAGCAGATAGAAAAAAGCATTCCACCCACACGCATCAAAATAGGGGGAAAAAAAGGGGCGAAAAACGCAGCTGTAAAAGTTGCCATTGTTTGGCCAGAAACCAGTAGAAGCCGTGGCAAAAAGATGATAAGGAGAAACTAACGAAAGGGTACAGGGAAAAAAATTAAATTCAATTAAATTGTTTATGTCTTTTGTCTAGCATCATTTATTTTTAGAAGATCCATATTTATTTTTGATTAAAAAATTGTGTATTAATTTGTAATTCTATGTATTTAAAAATAAAGTGGATTATTTAAAATTTTTTTTTTTTTTTTACAATTTATTTTTATGAAATCAATATTTATAATGAATCGAATAATTGTATATTAATTTTTAAGGAATGTAGAAATTTTCTTGTGGCTTCAAATTCTAATTTATACTATATACATAATATTCTTCTAATTATATTTTATTCTTAATTAAAGAGAAAACTTGCAAAACAAAATTTGGATTTTTTTTAATTTAATTTAATATTT